GAATGCATTAACAGAAATTACAGTAACCAAACAAACATTGTAGATTAGAAATTATGGAAATTAACGGTAAATGTACTACTGGTGATCCTGGTGTGCCATCCCCGCGGCCTCCACAATGGATTAGTCCACTCAGACAGGAGTAATTCAGACAGGTTTATTGTGTGGCCACATTTTTTTATTATATATTTGCGACTGCTAGACAAAATAAAATCTTGGTCGACACCTGCCTATCGACCAAACAATTGACCAGTCGACTAAATGTGGTCAGACCTAGCCTACGCAGTACATCAAGGCCTCTACGTCTCCAGTTGAGCAACACAAATTAGGAAAAAGTAGGTGGTTGTATTCGACTGATGGTGACTCAATGTTGTTGCTAGCAAATCAAAATAAAAGTCCCCCACAAGTTATTCCTTTTTTGTCCATATGGCGCACATGCAGGACTTTTATTTTGACATGAGGTAAGCAGAGAGGAAGTGGGTCTACAACAGACCCACGTTTGGAAAGGGTTTAATAACATGATCCTTTAGATCAGGGGTGTCAAACGTCCGGCCCGCGGGCCGGATCAGGCCCGCAAACGGGTTTAATCCGGGCCCGCGAGATGATAAAAAAATAAAAAAAAGTGTAAAGTATAAAAATGCGCAGCAATTTCTCAATAAAATAAACTGCTGTTCCAATTGCGTCCACTGGATGGCGCAATAGCAATTGTGTTAAGCAAGCAAACTGTTTATACCAGGGCAGAGCAAATAGGTCAAGCACGTGCAGCCAATGAGCTACTTTGTTTTGCCCGCGATATTTATTACGGCTTCTACTTTTAAACATTATGTGCTTTGGCACCCTCATTGCCCCAATATGTCTCTGTCAAAAAAGAGAAAAGTGGACGCAGAGTGTTCCAAGAAAAATGGTCATCCTATTTATTCACGGAATTGAATGGGAAAGCTGTATGTTTGGTGTGTTCAGAGCATGTTGCAGTGCTGAAAGAATATAACCTTCGTCGCCACTATGTGAGTCTTCATGCCGACAAATATGACAACTGTCAAGGACAGCGGAGATGAGAGAAGGTGAATGAACTGTTGGCGGGTCTGAAGAAACAGCAGTCTGTGTTTACTCACAGCCGAGACATCAGTGACGCTGCAGTGAAAGCTAGCTACCTCATTGCTAATGAATTGCTAATGAAATCGCAGTGGCTTCAAAACCATTTAGTGAGGGTGAATTTGTAAAAACATGCATGATGAAGGCAGCGGAGATTGTGTGCCCTGAAAAGCGGCAGGCTTTTGCAAATATCAGCCTGACAAGAAACACAGTTGCAGACAGGATTTCCGATCTTTCAGTGGATTTGGACAGCCAGTTGAAGCAAAAAGTAAAGTCATTTATTGCGTTTTCGGTTGCAATTGATGAAAGCACGGACATTACAGATGTTGCACAACTGGCCATTTTCATCCGCGGAGTTGATGACACATTGACCGTCACCGAGGAGTTCGTGGAGTTGGTGCCGATGACAGATACAACGACAGCAGCTGATATTTTTACCGCACTCGTCGGCGCGCTGGACAGGGTCGGAGTGGACTGGTCCCGCGCTGTCAGCCTGGCTACAGATGGTGCGCCCTCAATGATCGGGAAAAAAGCAGGCGTTGTGACAAAGTTCAGAGAGAAAGTGCAATCTGCAAATGGAGGATGTGATTTTTTGACTTTTCACTGTATTTTGCACCAGGAGGCTTTGTGTTGCAAGTCATTAAAGATGGATAACGTCATGAAGGTGGTCATCCAAACTGTTAATTTCATCCGATCCAGAAGCCTGAATCACCGTCAGTTTGACAGCCTTCTCAGAGAGAAAGACCACATCTATGGCCTGCCATACCACACTGAGGTAAGATGGTTAAGCCGAGGTGCTGTGCTGAGGCGTTTCTTTGATTTACGAGAAGAAATTGAACAGTTCATGGAAGAAAAGGGCAAACCAGTGTTAGAATTTCATTCCGCAGAATGGATGCAGGACCTTGCATTTATGGTGGATGTTACAGAGCACCTGAATAACTTGAACAAACAGCTGCAAGGGCGCAACAAAGTTGTCACGCAGTATTATGACAGCATACGTTCTTTCAAGTTGAAGCTGTCATTGTGGGAGACGCAACTTGCCGGTGGTGATGCAGCTCACTTCCCCTGTCTGAAAAATGTGTGCGCGACCCAACATGTGGCAGACGTGAAGCGGTTCAAAGATAAAATAACGGGACTGTTACGGGAGTTTGAGCAACGCTTTCAGATTTATGTTTATATGTTTTTAATGTTGATGTGCTATTGTTTTTAATTGTTTTTAGTTGTATATTTAACCTATTCTTGACTCTGTGGTTCTTGCACTTGTTTGGGGAAACAGGATTTCATTATTTGTATCTACATTTCTGCCTGAGAAATGACACCCTGATATAGTTCTGTGATCTGTGAAACAGTTCTGTTAATCACTGAGGCATTGTGTGTTTGTGTGTTCTTTTTCTTTAGAATTTTCAAATAAACTTGACGTGTTTTATGATTAATAGTGATGTTGTGCTTGTACTATTTTGGACACACTGTCCTCAGGCTCCAGCTTTATGTTGTATGTTGATCGTATTAAAACAAAGAAAACAATCTGAAGTTGTTGTTTTTAAGTTATATATACCATGATTTTTCCGGTCCGGCCCACTTGGGAATAGATTTTCCTCCATGTGGCACCTGAGCTAAAATGAGTTTGACACCCCTGCTTTAGATATTTTGTCTTAAATTCCCTCCGTCATAATGACCAACCGTCCTGCCCATCGGCACAGTAAGTTGAAATGGAATTGTATTTAACTTCTGGTTTCCCACGGACTGTTTTTGTGCAACCCAACACAATTGAAAGCAATGCTAGTGTATGTACATACAACCTTTTTGCTAAAAGCAGCTAATCCTGGCCGTGATCCCACTCTCCGAGGGTGTCTCGGGGAGAGTTGGGATATGCAAAAAAAACACATTTTCAATTCACACATGGGTATTAATCAGGGGAGAAAGACTGCCCCTTCTCATTGAAGCCACGTTAGTTCATGGCTGACCGTGGTATTGCAGGCATTGTTTGCAGAAAACAGGATCCTCATTATAGTAAATGCAAAAATGGCAATCTTCGTGGTCAATGTTCGAAAACAATCATGGTACCAGTAATTGCTTCTAATACACCAGATGTGTGTCCTTGAACAGATCATTTTCAAATCGCACACAAAATAAGTTATGGATAATAACTAATAGTAATCTGACATTTCACATTCTTAAAATAAAGTTGTGATCCTAACTGACCTAAAACAGGGAATTTTTACTAGGATTAAATGTCAGGAATTGTGAAAACCTGAGTTTGGCTAAAGTGTATGTAAACTTCAGACTTCAGCTGTACAGTAATTGCTATTAACACACAGGTGTACATGTGTGAAATAGGACACATATAAGCATGATGTGCACCTGTGTAAAGCTAGCCACAATAAGGATTAGCCACAATAGTGGAATTTGCAGTTCGTCTTCAAAATAGAGGTCCCCCATTGAAACTGATCCAAACGAATAAAAATAGTGGAATAATGCCATATTTGGACTAGATGATGCTAAACAAGGTTGGAATGTTGTTATATAACTTACTTATTTAGACAGTAAAAAAAAAAAAAAGTTCAAATGCCACTGTGGATTTACTAGACTGCATAATTGCATTGGGGCATACATATACAGTGCCGTGAAAAAGTATTTTCCCCCTTTCTAATTTTCTCTACTATTGCATATTTTTGATACTGAATGTAATCAGATCTTTAACAAAAACCTAATATTAGATAAAGGGAACCTGAGTGAACAAGTAACACACTTATTTCATTTATTTCATAAACAAAGTTATGCAACACTCAATGCCTGTGTGAAAAAGTAATTGCCCCATTACACTCAATAACTGGTTGTGCCATCTTTAGCTGCAATGACTCCAACCAAACGCTTCCTGTAGTTGATCAGTCTCTGACGTCGCTGGAGGAATTTTGGCACACTCTTCCATGCAGAACTGCTGTAACTCAGCGACATTTGTGGGTTTTCAAGCACGAACTGCTCGTCCTGCCGCAACATCTCAATTGCGATTAGGTCTGGACTTTTGAATAGGCCATTCCAAAACTTAAAATGTCTTGCTTTTTAGCCATTTTCATGTACACCTGATTGTGTGTTTTGGATCATTGTCTTGCTGCATGACCCAGCTGCACTTCAGTATCAGCTCACAGATGGATGGCCTGACATTCTCCTGTAGAATTCTCTCATACAGAGCAGAATTCAAGGTTCCTTCTATTAAGGCAAGTCATCCAGGTCCTCAGGCAACAAAGCATCCCCAAACCATCACACTACCACCACTATGCTTGTCCGTTGGTATGAGGTTCTTACTGTGGAATGCAGTGTTTGGTTTTAGCCAGGCATAATGGGACCCATGTCATCCAAAAAGTTATACTTTTGAATCATCTGTCCATAGATCATTCTTCCAAGAGTCTTGATGATCTTCCAGGTGGTTTTGGCAAACTTGAGTCAACTTTTTGGAGAACATGGGTCCCATTATGCCAGGCAAAAACCAAACAATTCTTAATTAAATCAATAAAATAAGTATACATTGTTTTATTTGTAAAATGTCTGATAATTCAGTATCGAAAATATGCAAAAATAGAGAAAATCAGAAAGGGGGCAAATACTTTTTCACGGCACTGTGAAATTTCGTGGCACCACAAAATTGTTTAGCATACTTCGCAACAACGTAAAGTTGATAACTGTCTGGCTCACAAGCTATTTGCTCATTAAAACAGTTTCTGTTCTGAAAACGTATTAACAATATAGCTAATGTTTCCACCGCAGCATAGAGATACTAGCCAGAGATTGTGCTAGCTACTTTTTCCCGTGGGTTGAAAATATTTGAGAACACCCAATCAGAGGTTCTACAACACCACGCCTGAGAGTATTGTCTGTTTGTTTTATATGATCTATGGATTTGATTATTTATAGTAATGACCAAATCTTGTTCGGTAACAGGATGTGCCAAGAATTTGTTAGCATTTCAACACAGCCTTCCTAAAGACCCTTGACTCCTGCTTGAGTGGTTGCTGTTTCTTGCTGAGTGTAACATTAAGCCTGGTGAAAAGTTTAAAATTACTTCAGAAACGAGTATCTGCAGGGCTCACTTTACAAATGAGTGTTTCACCAATTTCACTCAAGTGAAGATGGGATTTGCAAAAAAGGCTGAACTTGAAGTTCGACGTTGTACCGTTGGCGAAGGGTAAAGAAAATAGCTAGCCTATCTAGGCAAATATTCCTAACCCCGGTTGTTTACATTGTACTTGTTTTGTTTAGGTGGAACACACGACGTCGGGTGTGACAAAAGATGAGGGATGTCAATATGAACCACCACCAGCATGCAACATTATGGTACCATCACCTCCAAGACCCGTTCTGGTACCGTTAAAACACAACGTGTCAACACAGGCTTATTATTACAGAGAAAAAAATAAAAACAAAGGTGAGGCATATGGCTTGTATCTTTTGTAGAATATTTTCCTTCTTTTCAATTACAGCTGAAATGAATTGGTGTGTAGGGCAATTCCTTGGTAGCGGAATTGCGCTGAGACTAGGCTGTCGCGGTGACCATATTACCGCCACACCGGCAGTCACGAGTCATGACCGCAGTCAAATTCCCACAGAATTGCCCTGAGACTAGGCTGTCGCGGTGATCATATTACCACAGTCAAGGTAATCCCATCGAAAACTGCGCAAATTAATGCAGCTGATGGGTAGCCTACCCAACTTGCTAACAGCCCTCTCTAATGGCCTGGTACTCAGTGCTTTGTTGTCCCTTTAATCACTCTCTAAACACTTCATGATTGAATTTGAATAATCTGAATGATGAGGACAAAATGGTGAAGGGGGTTAGAGGCAGGGCTTGCAACTAATTATTTCCCCCTCACCGTCCCGAAGTGCAATTTCAACTGTCAAATTGAACTTGAACCATCCCAAAATTAAAATACTTGTTTTTTTGTTGTTTTGATATGCCAAAATGGGTCTAGGTCATTTGCGGTGCTTTTAAAGTAATTGGTGTATTTCTGAGACAGATACAGACAGTCTATATTACAAACTTAATTTGTTAAAAAAAAACTTTTTGCATCTTAATGAAAACAGACAAACATCCATTATTGTTCAATTAATACATTATAATTATTAATAATCTAACCACATGTACAGTTGAAGTCGGAAGTTTACATACACTTAGGTTGGAGTCATTAAAACTTGTTTTTCAACCACTCCACACATTTCTTGTTAACAAACTATAGTTTTGGCAAGTCGGTTAGGACATCTACTTTGTGCACGACACAAGTAATTTTTCCAACAATTGTTTACAGACAGATTATTTCACTTATAATTCACTGTATCACAATTCCAGTTGGTCAGAAGTTGACATACACTAAGTTGACTGTGCCTTTAAACGTCTTGGAAAATTCCAGAAAATGATGTCATGGCTTTAGAAGCTTCTGATAGGCTAATTGACATCATTTTAGTCAATTGGAGGTGTATCTGTGGATGTATTTCAAGGCCTACCTTAAAACTCAGTGCCTCTTTGCTTGACATCATGTGAAAATCAAAAGAAATCAGCCAAGACCTCAGAAAAAAAATAGTAGACCTCCACAAGTCTGGTTCATGCTTGGGAGCAATTTCCAAATGCCTGAAGGTACCACGTTCATCTGTACAAACAAAACTACACGCCATGGGACCACGCAGCCGTCATACCGCTCAGGAAGGAGACGTGTTCTGTCTCCTAGAGATGAACATACTTTGGTGCGAAAAGTGCAAATCAATCCCAGAACAACAGCAAATGACCTTGTGAAGATGCTGGAGGAAACAGGTACAAAAGTATCTATATCCACAGTAAAACGAGTCCTATATCGACATAACCTGAAAGGCCGCTCAGCAAGGAAGAAGCCATTGCTCCAAAACCGCCATAAAAAAGCCAGACTACGGTTTGCAACTGCACATGGGGACAAAGATCGTACTTTTTGGAGAAATGTCCTCTGTTCTGATGAAACAAAAATAGAACTGTTTGGCCATAATGACCATCGTTATGTTTGGAGGAAAAAGGGGGCGGCTTGCAAGCCGAAGAACACCATCCCAACCGTGAAGAACGGGGATGGCAGCATCATGCTGTGGGGGTGCTTTGCTGCAGGAGGGACTGGTGCACTTCACAAAATATATGGCATCATGAGGAAGGAAAATTATGTGGATAAATTGAAGCAACATCTCAAGACATCAGTCAGGAAGTTAAAGCTTGGTCGCAAATGGGTCTCCAAATGGACAATGATCCCAAGCATACTTCCAAAGTTGTGGCAAAATGGCTTAAGGACAACAAAGTCAAGGTATTGGAGTTGCCATCACAAAGCCCTGACCTCAATCCTATAGAAAATGTGTGGGCAAAACTGAAAAAGCGTGTGCGAGCAAGGAGGCCTACAAACCTGACTCAGTTACACCAGCTCTGTCAGGAGGAATGGGCCAAAATTCACCCAACTTATTGTGGGAAGCTTGTGGAAGGCTACATGAAACGTTTGACCCAAGTTAAACAATTTAATGGCAATGCAACCAAATACTAATTGAATGTATGTAAACTTCTGACCCACTGGGAATGTGATTAAATAAATCACTCTCTACTATTATTCTGACATTTCACATTCTTAAAATAAAGTGGTGATCCTAACTGACCTAAGACAGGGAATTTTTACTAGTATTAAATGTCAGGAATTGTGAAAAACTGAGTTTAAATGCATTTGGCTAAGGTGTATGTAAACTTCCGACTTCATCTGTATATTATCCATGTTGTCGTTCAGCCACGACTCGGTGAAACATAAGATATTACAGTTTTTAATGTCCCGTTGGTAGGATAGTCTTGAATGGAGCTCATCCAGTTTATTCTCCCAATGATTGCACGTTGGCCAATAGGACGGATGGTAGAGGCGAGTTACCCACTCGCCGATGAATTATCACAAGGCACCCGGACCTGCGTCCCCTTTATCGGTGTCTTCTCTTCATGCGAATGACGGGGATTTGGGCCTGGTCGGGTATCTGGAGTAAATCCTTCGCGTCCGACTCAATAAAGAAAATATCTTTGCCCAGTTCGATGTGAGTAATCGCTGTTCTGATATCCAGAAGCTCTTTTCGGTCATAAGAGAAGGTGGCAGAAATATTATGTACAAAATAAGTTACAAACAACGTGAAAAAACACACAAAATAGCACAATTGGTTATGAGCTTGTAAAACGGCAGCCATCTCCTCCGGCGCTATTCTGGTCTTGAAGACCAACGTTAATTTGCTTTGACTATTTGTACATTCTGAGAGACAGCAACCACAGTTAACTCGCTCTAGACTAACTTCTTGCTAGTTATTTATCATCCCATCCGATTACATACTACCTGTCATGACTGCATCAAACCGAGAGAAGCTAGCTAATTGAGGCTAGCCTTAACTTTACTGCGTTTCTCACCTTCCTACAGTTAGCCTACAAATAACAACAACTCCATTCATTTATAAATAGTAGCCTACCCGGCTTTTGGTCATTGTAGCCTTTCCTTCTTATTTCACTTTTAATTCTGTGCATCTTCCATTGATTAGATATCTTATCTTGCTTGCCACACAAGCAGAGCAGCAATTCAATTTTCTCTCTCGCTCTCTCCACTGGAAGCTCAATGATCAGAGTGCATGCCTTTTTCCAGATCATCAATATAGAGTCGCAACATGCAGCCCATATGTTTTGATTTCTAAGACATTCTAAGGTTTGTGGGCATATCACAACTAAATAAATCATGGCTTTTATTGTGATCGTGTATATTAAATGGATTTATTCAACTTTTTGAAATGTAGATGTTCCAAAGGCGCGCATCAGCAGCTTGCTAGAAGCCCAGAGATGCTAAACGTCTATGTTAATTAATGGTCAATTAGTGAAGGTAAAGGGGATACCTAGTCAGATGCACAACTGAATGCATTCAACCGAAATGTGTCTTCTCCATTTAACTACAGATGGGCATGAGTAATACAGTACTCGAACTGATGTCAAAACTCGATTTTTAACCAGGGATCAAATTTTTTCAAATACTGTCTTGAAGACAACGTTAATTTGCTTTGACTTTAGTGTTCTATTTGTACATGTGTATTTGTGGGACGCAACAAGAAAACAAACCAAGCATCACAGTTCTGCTCTCAATCCCCTTTCCCCGCCGTGTCTCACTCAATTGCGTTCCGACCGCTCCCTCTACACACGCCTGCTGGGTGCGCCTACAGAAATAAATGCCTATGAAAAACTAATCTAACTGATGGGATACACAAGCTACATTCCTTGACAAATGACCGTTTTATCACAAATTCTAAATGGACTGGTTGACCGAAGTAGGGAAATATGTATCCCAACAAGGAGCTGCAGTTTTGAAATAATTGCGTCATTTTCTGCTTAGGACACACCGACTGCGTCATTGCGTTTTGGTACACCAGAAGTACATTCATTTCCAATGGAACGCTGCGTTTGCCTTGCAGCATTGCGTTGCAGAGGCAGTTGCAGTGTGTTCTGTGTGGTGCATACGTTGGATTTATCGAACGTATGCGTCAAACTGTATGGGTAAACGGGTTGACAGAAATGGTAGCAGAAGGTGAATGTTTTAAACTTTTGTTGCACACATATCTAGATGATGCTGCATACTATTTTGTGCAATGACGCAGTCAGTGTGTTCAAATCGTTAGGCTACATTGCGGTTGTCACTAGTTACCACAGCACTGAAAATATGCAACAACATTAGTTTGATAAAGACAAAGAGTGTGTTTTCATCAGAATCATTAAGCCTAGGCCTACTCATCAAACTGATGTCCTGGCCATAATTCATCCACATGCAGTGTTCAATGTAGAATTGTTCATCCATTTTGAAAATTCAAAGGAACAGACATAATAAACTAAATCGAACCTCTGTATATCGAAAAGACAGATTTTGGTTTGTAACCTTGAAAAAAAAGTTTTTCTTCTTGCCAAATTCAGCCCTGTTTCAAATGAAACATACTCCAGTACTCGATTACTCGATTTACACCCATAATATAATTGCGGTAACGGAATTTCATCATGGGTCCCTGATCTGTACTACACAGAAATGCATAATTATGGATATGAATGGCATTCTCTTCCATGGTAAAGTATCCTAAATAGACACACAAAGGTAGAAATATGCAATATCCTCCTTTGCATATTTGGGTATCATTCTACAAACTGGCTATTATTTTAAGACCAAATGCGTCCTCCGAAACACGACCCTGCCATGCCGCACTGCTTCTTGACACACTGCCCACTTAACCCGGAAGCCAGCCACACCAATGTGTTGGAGGAAACACTGTACAACTGGTGACCGAAGTCCGCGTGCATGCGTCCGGCCCGCCACAAGGAGTCGCTAGAGCGCGATGGGACAACGACATCCCAGCCGGCCAAACCCTCCCCACTACAGACCCTCCCGGTCGCGGCCAGCTGCGGCCCAGCCTGGGATCGAACCCAGTTCTGTAGTGACGCTTCTAGCACTACGATGCAGTGCCTTAGACCGCTGCGCCACTCGGGAGGCCCGCACTACTTCAGTACTTTAGACACTAGAACATGAAAAAGGGCTCGTTTATTTTATTTTACTTTTGGTACTTCTGTCAAATGTATCTCCCATGCCTGCTCCACTTAGCCTGCACTGGGAGTCTGGGCTGTATCATGTTAGCTCCCCACTCATGCTGCACACAAGTTAACACACTTGAATAATCCGACACGGCATGTAGAAATGTTGAAACTGTTAATTACTGTTCGCAAAACAATGTCCATACAGGCTAGAACACTTTACAATGGTGACATTAATTGGAGGGAGAGAGAGGGGGAGGGGTTGTCCAGACTTTTCACACTCTTGCTTTGACCACCAGACAACAGAAAGATAAAAGAAAATGGTTATTAGCTGAACATAACAGTATGCCAGTGGAAGGGAGGACAGTTGCAGGTGACCCAACTGTGGTTTGTGAATACTATGATTTCCCATTGTAGCCAATTCAACTGCAGAAATTGGTAAGATAATTTTGAGTTTAAAGGTGCAATATGCCATTTCCTGGTTGCTATAATCTATGAATTTCACATGACTGTGAATACAGATATGCATCTGTTGGTCACAGATACCAGAAAAGCAGTCAGTATCTGGTGTGACCACCATTTGCCTCATACAGCGCAACACATCTCCTTCGCATAGAGTTGATCAGGCTGTTGATTGTGGCCTGTGGAATGTTGTCCCACTCCTCTTCAACGGCTGTGCGAAGTTGCTGGATATTGGTGGGAACTGGAACACGCTGTCGTACACTTTCATCCAGAGCATCCCAAACATGCTCAATGGGTGACATGTCTGGTGAGTATGCAGGCCATGGAAGAACATTTTCAGCTTCCAGGAATTGTGTACAGATCCTTGCGACATGGGGCTTTGCATTATCATGCTGAAACATGAGGTGAATACGGCGGATGAATGGCACGACAATGGGCCTCAGGATCTCTGTGCAATCAAATTGCCATTGATAAAATGCAATTGTCTTAGTTGTCTGTAGCTTATGCCTGCCCTTACCATAACCTCACCATGGGGCACTCCGCTTGCCCACACGACGTCATACACAATGTCTGCCATCTACAGTTGAAACCGGGATTCATCCGTGAAGAGCACACTTCTCCAGCGTGCCAGTGGCCATTGAAGGTGAGTATTTGCATCCCTGAAGTCGGTTACGATGTTGAGCTGCAGTCAGGTCAAGACCCTGGTGAGGACGGCGAGCACGCAGATTAGCTTCCCTGAGACGGTTTCTGACAGTTTGTGCAGAAATTATTTGGTTGTGCAAACCCACAGTTTCATCAGCTGTCCAGGTGGCTGGTCTCAGACGATCCCGCAGGTGAAGAAGCCGGATGTGGAGGTCCTGGGCTGGCGTGGTTACACGTGGTCTGCGGTTGTGAGGCTGGTTGGACATACTGCCAAATTCTCTAAAACGACTTTGAAAGCATCTAATGGTTGAGAAATGAACATTCAATTCTCTGGCAACAGCTCTGGTGGACATTCCTGCAGTCATCATGCCAATTGCACGCTACCTCAAAACTTGAGACATGTGTGGCATTGTGTTGTGTGACTAAACTGCACAAGGTGCACCTGTGTAATGATCATGCTGTTTAACCAGCTTCTTGATATGCCACACCTGTCAGGTGGATGGATTATCTTGGCAAAGGAGAAATGCTCACTAACAGGGATGTAAACAAATCTGTGCACAAAATTGGAGAGAAAAAAGCTTTTTGAGCGACTGGAAAATGTCTGGGATCTTTTATTTCAGCTCATGAAACATGTGACCAACACTGTGTTTATATTTTTGTTCAGTATAAATATGTGTATTAGTTGGCAGGGGTCTTTACTTCAACATTGTGCTTTGATGTATTTCTAGTACCGTAACACTTTTTCAAAGACCCCTTTTCCATCTGTTTGGCAAGAAATCAAAGCCTTTGCTTATTCAAATTTTTTGGGATGGAAAATGGTTGGAAAATGTACAGTGAGGGAAAAAAGTATTTGATCCCCTGCTGATTTTGTACGTTTGCCCACTGACAAAGAAATTATCAGTCTATCATTTTAATGGTAGGTTTATTTGAACAGTGAGAGACAGAATAACAACAGAAACATCTAGAAAAACGCATGTCAAAAATGTTATAAATTGATTTGCATTTTAATGAGGGAAATAAGTACTAAGTAAGTAGCAGAGGTCAGACGTTTCTTGTAGTTGGCCACCAGGTTTGCACACATCTCAGGAGGGATTTTGTCCCACTCCTCTTTGCAGATCTTCTCCAAGTCATTAAGGTTTCGAGGCTGATGTTTGGCAACTCGAACCTTCAGCTCCCTCCACAGATTTTCTATGGGATTAAGGTCTGGAGACTGGCTAGGCCACTCCAGGACCTTAATGTGCTTCTTCTTGAGCCACTCCTTTGTTGCCTTGGCCGTGTGTTTTGGGTCATTGTCATGCTGGAACACCCATCCACGACCCATTTTCGATGCCCTGGCTGAGGGAAGGAGGTTCTCACCCAAGATTTGACGGTACATGGCCCTTTGATGCGGTGAAGTTGTCCTGTCCCCTTAGCAGAAAAACACCCCCAAAGCATAATGTTTCCACCTCCATGTTTGACGGTGGGGATGGTGTTCTTGGGGTCATAGGCAGCATTCCTCCTCCAAACACAGCGAGTTGAGTTGATGCCAAAGAGCTCCATTTTGGTCTCATCTGACCACAATACTTTCATCCAGTTCTCCTCTGAATCATTCAGATGTTCATTGGCAAATTTCAGACGGGCATGTATCTGTGCTTTCTTGAGCAGGGGGACCTTGCGGGCGCTGCAGGATTTCAGTCCTTCACGGCGTAGTGTGTTACCAATTGTTTTATTGGTGACTATGGTCCCAGCTACCTTGAGATCATTGACAATATCCTCCTGTGTAGTTCTGGGCTGATTCCTCACCGATCTCATGATCATTGCAACTCCACGAGGTGAGATCTTGCATGGAGCCCCAGGCAGAGGGAGATTGACAGTTATTTTGTGTTTCTTCCATTTGCAAATAATCGCACCAACTGTTGTCACCAAGCTGCTTGGCGATGGTCTTGTAGCCCATTCCAGCCTTGTGTATGTCTACAATCTTGTCCCTGACATCCTTAGAGAGCTCTTTGGTCTTGGCCATGGTGGAGAGTTTGGAATCTGATTGATTGATTGATTGCTTCTGTGACAGGTGTCTTTTATACAGGTAACAAACTGAGATTAGGAGCACTCCCTTTAAGAGTGTGCTCCTAATCTCAGCTTGTTACCTGTATAAAAGACACCTGGGAGCCAGAAATCTTTCTGATTGAGAGGGGGTCATATTTATTTCCCTCATTAAAATGCAAATCAATTTATAACATTTTTGACATGTGTTTTTCTGGATTTTTTTGTTGTTATTCTGTCTCTCACTGTTCAAATAAACCTACCATTAAAATGATAGACTCATCGTTTCTTTGTCAATGGGCAAACATACAAAATCAGCAGGGGATCAAATACTTTTTTCCCTCACTGTATATATGCCTTAAGTTCTCAGACATATAGATTCAACTTTCATTTGACACCCAATTCAACATGCTCCTATGAACTTCACGTTGGTGCTTATGGGTCCTTTTACATGGAAATGACCTGTAACATGCTACTGTATTTGTTTTGTATTTGATTTACAGCCATCCAAGTGCAGCCAATTCAGAAGAATGTCGGAGTCAATACTAGGTTTACGGAGGACATACCACACAGGGAAGTGAACAGGTATAAACTTTCATTTTACTTTAAGTAGCCCGTGGCAAACTATTCTAAATCAATTGGCTAATGACTTAGGCCACCTGTCCTCCTAATCTATGAGCGACTGTTCAACTGAAAATTGTCATACAACTATGCTTAATTACTTTTGAACGGTCTCACTGTCCGGCCTGCTTGCGAAGCCCAATCTGTAGTAACCTTTGATAAAGAAATATATCTTCTTCCAGTTTAAACTCTGTCACGGTGTACATGGCGAGGAAGTACGTGGTCTACGAAGACTGCCTCCTTCCGTTGTTCAAGACTTGTCCGGTCTGTCGCGGCTCCTGCAGCATCGACAAGTTCATCCATGACACCCTGCTCACCATCAACCGGTTCTGCAACCACTGTGACCACCGGAGCCAATGGAAGAGTCAGCCCTTTAACCTCCCAGCTGGATACCTGACCTCCTCAGCAGCCAAAGTATCAACTGGCACAACTGATACTCCCACTGGCATGTCAACTGGTACATCCACTGATGCTCAGACTGGCACCTCAACTGGCCCAACTGGTACCTTCAATGCTCAGACCCTGAAGGTAGCATTTTTTGTTTACAATGCATGAATGCAAAAACACACAAGCCATGAAAACAACAAACTTTTTAAATGGGGAGGTGTTAGTCAAGTAAACCAGTAACCACAATTGTCATCAGCTATGGCTATGATTTGTAAACTAAGTGAAATCAGGAGGTTGGCAGTATTTTTGTCCATAGTCAAAATAGGTTGAGATGCATTTGTCCATAGAATATTACATATTTAGGGAGGTTCTGTGGGGTATTGAGGTCCATTTCTCATCTGCATTGTGTTTCTCTCTAGCCAGTAGTTATGTGGAACTATTGGTATAAGAGTGCCAATTGTAAGTACATTGAAGATTATTACTGATTCGTTGTAGCTATTGCTCATTATTGTTCATTGTCCTTGCAGACTGTGGAGGAAAGTGGTCTGTTGGAGAGTAAAGATGGTGATATCTGCAACAAAGGTCTAGAGGACATTCAAACCCTGGTGTTTGAGACGACTCTTTGTTTGGATGACGAAGTTCACGACGACAAATCCATTAAGAAGAAACGTCAGTCATTAGAGGAGGAGGAACAACAAGAGGTGGGGGAGGAAGAAATGAAGGAGGAGGAGACTAGTGAGGAGGAGGAGGAGGAGAGCTCTGATAGGGAGTGGGAACCTGAGGTGGAGTTAGGTGAACCTCTAGCCTCAGATTCCGAAGGGGAGTCCCCGGCACTCTGCCCGGATTGCGGCACGTTCACCAAAGGCTCCAAGGCACACGTCTGCGAGCACGTGAAGCCGTTCGTCTGCCAGGACTGTGGCAAGCGGTTCGTTAACGAGGTCTCTCTCAACATTCACAGAAGAATCCACAAGCCAGGCTACGTGCACGAGTGCAAGTACTGCCTCAAGCCGCTCCAAAGCAGGCCGGAGAAGCTGAGGCACGAGGAGAGCCACCCGCATGTGGAAAAGCCCTATGAATGCCCCGACTGCCCCAAAAGATTTAGTGACATTAAAGCCAGAGACAGCCACATTCAAGGCCACAGAGGGCCCACACAACACATTTGCAACATCTGTAAAATGGAGTTCAACAAAAAACACATCCTGGAAAGACACATGCTAGTCCACAGCGGGGACAAGTCCTACACATGCCCCGAGTGCCAGCGCTCCTTCAACCAAGCGAGCCATCTCAAGTCCCACATGCGCCTCCACACGGGCGAGCGGCCCTACAAGTGCCAGCAATGTGACAAGTCCTTCAACCACAACGTGAGTCTGAAAAGCCACATCCAGCGCTACCACCCAGGCCTTGGCTACGGGACCAAGGAGAAGGAAGAGGGACAGGAGCCCATCTCAAACTCAGTGACTCAGACTGAACAACAGGTAATGATAGAGGAGAGTCGAAAGCCAAACGCAGAGACTGGGCAGAAGAGAGTGAAGAGGGCACTCAGGGCAGGGAGGAAGAGGAAACGACAGACCTTTGACCCTGAGGAGTTTGTGGAGAGTAAGAACAACAGTGACTCAGAATTCAACCCAGAAGAGGAGGAGAGCGGGAGCAACAGTGACTCTGACTTCAACCCAGAAGAGGAGGAGAGCGGGAGCAAAAGGAGGACTACAGGTAGACCAATAGGCAGACCGAAAGGGAGACCAGGGACCACCAGAAAGATGCATGCAAGAACTGTTGGTAAAGAGCTTGATGGATTGAACCTGAATAAACACAAATCTGCAAAACAGTGGGAGCTGGAGAAAGAGAGGCAGAGCGACCCAGTGGAGGAGAGAGGGAGCAAAAGGAAAGCCACAAGCAGCGGAAGAGGAAGGGGGAGAGGCAGGGGAAGACCAAAAACCATTAGAGAGATGCATGAGGGAACTGCTTGCGAAGAGCTTGATGGTTCTAACCTGAATGAACAAGTACCATCAATAGAGACTGGTCTTTCTGAACTTTTAGAGAGTTGTAGGCCAATTCAAAATGTATATGAGGCTTTTGAACCGATGCCAAATTAACTGCTAGTTACTGAAGAGTTGGCCAGTGTTTTCTGTTTTTCTTTCTCTGTTTTCTATATTTTGTATACATTGAAGAAGAAAAATGCTGTTATGAAGGGACACAAATGTCCCCAAGGTTCAAGATTCCACAAGGAAACTACTGTGCCTCCCAAATGGTACCCTATTCCCTGTATAATGCACTACTTTGCATTGCAGAGTTACATTGAGCCCTGGCCATACGCCTGCCACCTGATTCCTAATGTTCAACATTTGTGTTCTAACAAACTTGACGTCTAGATTATCAGTTATGATCATTTAAGAAAATAGTTCAATAACAATAACTACTACTGCAGACAATGGAAAGTGCCTCCTATACTTAGTCTTTGATAAAAGGTTATCTTGGATTGCAATTGATATATTTTTCTGACAAGATTGTAATAAACTTTTCAATATAGCATGTCTATTTTACTTGTATTATTAAATGGAATGATATTACTGCTACCTTTTCCAAAATGTTTGCAACCCAACATCTAGACATTCATATACTAGGGCTGGCACAACTACCATATATCCACGTAACCAACTGTTATGGATAAAGATAGTCATGAAAATAAAATAACTGTCATAACTGTGTAACAGTTTTTTTTTGGGGGGGGGGGGGGTCGGAACTAGGAAACTCTGAAATGTACAACTTGCTAACTGCTTGTAGTTATACATATGCCGCGTTCAACCAGTTAGCAAGTCAGACATTTCCAAGTTCCGACTAGCACGTGAACGCGGCATGCAGACGGCAAGGTTTTACATTTTTTTAATTTTACCCTTATTGTACCAGGTAAGTTGACAGAGAACACATTCTCATTTACAGCATCGACCTGAGAAATAGTTACAGGGTAGAGGAGGGGGGATGAATGAGCCAATTGGAAGCTAGGGATGATTAGGTGGCCATGATGGTATGAGGGCCAGATTGTGAATTTAGCCAGGACACCGGGGTTAACACCCCTACTCTTACGATAAGTGCCATGGGATCTTTAGTGACCACAGATAGTCAGGACACACGTTTAATGTTCCCATCCGGAAGACAGCACCCTACACAGGGCAATATCGCCAATCACTGCCCTGGGGCATTGGAATATTATTTTTTTTAGACCAGAGGGAAGAGTGCCTCCTACTGGCCCTCCAACACCACTTCCAGCAGCATCTGGTCTCCCATCCAGGGACCGACCAGGACCAACCCTGCTTAGCTTCAGAGGCAATCCATAGTTTTTCCTATGTTCATTTTCAGATCTGATTTGCTAGTTTTTAGTTTCAGTTGTATAAAAATATTTATTTTGTTTTTATATGATTTAGGTTCAGTTTTACTGTTGGGGACAGAAAGTTTTATAGTTTGGGGTTTTTGGTATGTCAATTCTGGAACTGGGAGGCAGTAATACATAAGGTCATTAGTTAGGTTAGCCCTTTTCATGACTCCAATGCTACATTGGAGTCATTCCATGTCAAACGCACGTTTTTTTTTGCAATTTCGTCATTTAAAAACTAGCGCACTAACATTTTCCATCCCTAACGCCAGGTTCGGCAATTTACCTGTCTTATATCAGCACGCTTGCGCTCAGATGGAAGGGGTGGAAATATTTTAGGCCTGTCCTTAAAAAACATGAGCCAAAGTGCTAATTTCAGGCAGCGCTGGTAGGGATATTTAAGACCAACCAAAAGCTGGTTTTAGCAGTAACGCAGTGGGTTATGGCATGCATTTTGACAGCGGAAACGCAGCATATCCAGCCGTAACACACACTGCCCATATGCGCATGGAACAAGAGTAGCCTAATGTGCTTTTGGTGCCTGTATACTTCATATTTAGAAACATGTGTTTTCCCATTTCGTTTTTTTGAGTTAAAAACCAAGCATAGCCTCCCCTCCGCTCAATTAAGGCTTTTTTTTTTGTCCTGCCCAATGCAATCACGAAGTAAAGACTGTCGATAAAGGGTTTGGCTCCTGAGACCGTTTGGAAATAACTCTTAATCAACAAAGCTTTATTAAAATATAAAGTTTGAGAGGAGTAAAACAGCTGACATTCCTTTTTAAATCTATGCATTGTATGCAGGCCCACATTATTTTAGCCATGCAGGTCCCATTTTGGACGTGAGTAAAACCCCCTCCATGATGTAGGCTACGTGTCCATGCCCATAATGAAACGAGAGATCAGAACCTCGGTGAATACCGGTGAACCTCGTATTTAGTTATCTGCAACCTGTAACAATTGCTTGTTTTCCATTTCATATGTTCAAAACCCTTAGGCATTTTTAATTTTCATTTAATTTCATTACAACCAATCTTTTCTGACACATCCCTGAACCTATAGCGCTACCGCCTGCGCTTAGATTTACCATTGCGTTAGGTTTGTTAAAATAGAGCCCTAATTATCTTTTGTATTTGTAAAATCATTTTGGGGTGATATGAAAGTAGAATTACGGATGTTTCCAAAACCGTATTGCACGCTGTGATTATTAACGGTTAGACAGAGCGTTGGGAGAGTTGTACACGTTGGCCCCGCTGTGGTCAATTGTTCAAATGAGAACCCTATAGCTGTATGGCCAAGTAGGTGGTTTGTAGATGTTCAGTAGTTGTTCAATAACTGTCAACAACATTTCAACTATCTATCTACTAACCCTAATCTAGCCAAACCTTAATCCTTATCCTAACCCTTATTCTAAACCTAACCCTAACCTTAGCAAGCAGTTGCTTATCAACAGATAGATTGTTGATGGTATGACCATCTGCAGATCATCTATATGGGACTATCCAAATAGTGTGACCGAATCAAGTTAGCTACCTAGACTTTTTTCCCGTTAGCTAGTTAGTGATAGTGATGCACAAGCTAGGCCTTTTGAAACATGCCATTTCCTGGCTGCATTTACCCACCAGATTCAGTAGCTTGAAAACCAACAAAAAGCTTGAAAACCCCCATTAGATTTCTGCTAAAGATAATTAATGATGGTTTTTATTTTGGTTAGTTTTGGAGTCAAAGATGGTTTCAGTATAGTTTTTGAAACGGGTTTGTAAATTATTTGATTTCAGTTTACTAAATGGTTTTTCATGATTCGTTTTTCAGTTGACTATAAAAACCTTGGAAGTCGGGATGGCCAGGCATTCGTGCGGTTGAGTACGTTTCTGTGATAACATGGACTCTTAACAACGTGATGAAACTTTGTTGCTCCTTGTGTAACAAGCAAGGTGTTTTCACACTTTTTAATGTCATGGACCCCCAAATATTAATGAGCCCCTGGGCGAGGACCCCTACTAAAATGTTGTATATTTTCGCAAGCTGACAATTAAGTTCCTGAGAGCCGCTTGCAAGCTGCGCAATTACTAACAGTGGTAATACTTATACTCTACACATTTGAACATGAACCACGTTTTTCAGTTTTAAAGCAAATTTCCTGCTTTTCTACACATTTTACCATGGCTTATGCCATGTTCATATGCTATCTGAGCAGAGCTGGCTCTAGCCTTTTGGGCCCCTAAGTAAGTTTTGGTTGGAGGCCCCAGGGCACGTGCCCTGAGTACCTGTTAGTAATGAGGCCCTGACTACCACTGGTTTACAGTGAGACAGGCAAGTGCAAATGCTATTTGCATATTGATGGAAAATATGATTGTCATTGGGGTTAGATAGGAAAGACGGGAAGATTGATCAAGATTTGACCAAACATGTTCTGTAGGTATAATTAAACCAATATTTAATTTAGTGAAAAATAACTTTTCTGCGGACACATAGAAAGGTGCAGAAGCAGCACACATATAAATATAATGTGGAAGCACATGGCAGTCAGGAGCGGAGGAATGGAGAAAAATTTAGTTTTTTTCGATTCAAACGGTTATTCCAGAGACCGTGGCCATTTGGCTGGCCAATTACTGGTCCAAAATTCCATGATCGTCACAGCCCTATCACATACAGTACCTTACCATACAAACAACTAAAAGTAGACTGCAATATTGATATATGATCATACACAGTGATCACTCTTACTCTGAGACGCTTTATAAATAAGGGCCCTGGGCCCCTGCGGTGAAACGTTCAGTTACATTGCAGATAGAACAGAACTGCCACTGACCTGCTCATGAAAGCCTGCTGGTGTAAGTCTTGGGCTTTCCTGGCGTTCACAGTGGCCTGGACCCAGGCGTGTAGAGCTCTCCTCTTCGCTGCCCTTCTCTCACTCTCCACATACTGACCCAGTAGCTGTCTCAGCTCACACATCCCTTTGGAGAATCCACACAGAAATTGGGGTTTTCACACTTTTACAGTGTTAGTTTCATCAGCTGCTGTACAATAATGATACAAAACACAGGATAAACAGAATTTTGACTGCACTGGGCCAAGTTCTGTTCCAAGTGTATATTTGCTTACATGAAGTGTATGGCATGTGAGAAAAGTGGAGTTGCTGTAAAACTATCCCCCATTATCCCCCATACAACACACTCAGAAAAGTGTTTCTCAACCCATTCCTGGGAGACGCCCAGCGGTTACAGTTTTGTTCTAGCCAAGCCCTAACACAACAACTGATCAAGGGCTTGGTGGTTAGTGGATCAGTTGACTCCAGTGTGGTAGGGCTGGGCTAGAACAAAAGTGTGCATCCGCTCCCTCCCAGCTATGGATTAGGAAAAATTTGTGTATTCAGAGACATTGAAACGGCTTTGTTGAAATAGAATGAATAGAGCTGACAAGATTCCCTATTATTTTGACAGACATTAATTATTCCTACCCAATAGATTTCTTTTTGAATATTCTGTAACGTTAAATCCCCCTGAACAGGCCCCTGGATTATTAAGTGAGACCCACTGTGGGTATGATCTCTCCAGCGCTGCAGACCCTCTCTGGCCCCCAGCGCCAGTCTCTCCTGGCCTCTCCTGCGGAACTCCAGGATGCGGGCGGCAGACCCCCTCCAGTGGGCCAGGGATTGGCCTAGCAGCCTCTGTTGGAGGTGGGCATGGGCTAGAGTGCTCATCTCCCTCTGGGAATGGACACATCGCTCCCACGCCGTAAACACCCTACAAACACACACGCAGGGAAGGGAAAGGAGGGATTTGGTACTGGTCAAGATAAATCCTATTAACAGGAAATAGGGTGATAAGTCATGTACACACATCCAACAAAATCCCACATAGGAGAATTAAGTGAAACTTGAACAAAAGGTCCTTAGCGGTCGAAACATTGCAAATGAAACTACTGGAGCATCTAGAGTAGTGCCTGTATTTCTCTTAATCCCCTATACCCTTGAAAAATCATGTTTTGTTTGTAATAAAAAATATACATATATTCTCTCTCACACACACAACCTGGTGAGCATGGTGTGTGTGTAGAAGGCGCTGACGGCCTGGCTTTGTCTGAGGCGTGCTGTCCAGAGGGCGAAGGCGCTGTGTGTCCTCAGTCTCTCTCCTCTCCTCCGCAACCACACCGCCCTCCTCACCAGCTGGGCCCGGGCCTCCGGGTCTGGCCTTACTCTAATCAACATCCGCTGAGAGAGAGGATGTTATTAACCCATTATACCAACAGCAATAAATTGGAGGATAAATCGATGTGTGGGTAAAACGTTCTAACATTTGCCTTTTTTTGCCTAGCTGAGAAATTGTGTTTGTTTATGTTCACTAATGGTCTGCGTTTTTGGATGTCACTGGACGAAGAAAAGTCAATTATGAAAATTATATTTTGTATCTCTCACTCTAGCCCACTTCCTCTTCTCTCCCTTCTCCCCAAAGTGAACATTTGTTCACTCCCCTTTAAAAAAAATAATACTTTCAGGTATTCCAGCATTGGATTGGTGTAAGCATGGGCTGGTGGGATTTTCCATCATATTCCCTACACCAGTAAATTCCTTGAGAGGTTAGTGTACAAGTGCACACTTGGAGGAGAGGCAGTTGTGCTTCGTCTCCCTACCTTTTTCTCCCATGTTGAGAAGCTGCTCCTGAGGACTGCGGTGGTGTGGAAGTTGTCGGCCATCCTCTGCAGGGTGACCTTTGACCTATGGTGAGCGACCACCCCTCTCCAGTGAGCCACAGAGGAAGTCACAAATGCAGTTTCCTGTGTGAAGCAGGAAGTATGTGTGACAGGTGACCGAGAATACTGGCACCCATGTTGACTTTCAACTGATCCCAATTCACTTCCTATCCCTTCCCCTTGGCCCTATCCCTTCGATGTTTGCAGATCTGTTAGATGGAAGCAATATGCCCTCCATAAGGCAATCAAACAGGCAAAACGTCAGTACCGAGACGAAGTGGAGTCAACGGCTCAGACACGAGATGTATGTGGCAGGGACTCCAGACAATCACGGATTATAAAGGGAAACTCAGCCACGTCGTGGACACCGACACCTTGCTCCCGGACAAGCTAAACACCTTTTGTGCCCGCTTCGAGGAAAATACAGTGCCGCTCATGAGGACTGAGCTCTCGTTCTCTGTGGCTGAAGTGAGTAAGACACTTAAGTTTGTTAACCCTAGCAAGGCTGCCGGCCCAGACGGCATCCGTAGCCACGTCCTCAGAGCATGTGCAGACCAGCTGGCTGGAGTGTTTACAGACATATTCAATCTCTCCCTATCCCAGTCCGTTTTCCCCACTTGCTTCAAGATGTCCACCATTGTTCCTGTACCCAAGAAAGCGAAGGTAACTGACTATCGCCCCGTAGCACTCACTTCCATCATCATGAAGTGCTTTGAGAGGCTAGTTAAGGATCATATCACCTCCACCTTACCCAACACCCTTGACCAGGGGTGTCAAATTCATTCCATGGAAGGCCAAGTGTCTGCGGGTTTTTGGTTTTCCCTTTCAATTCAGACCTAGACAACCAGGTGAGGGGAGTTCTTAACTAATTAGTGACCTTAATTCATCAATCAAGTACAAGGGAGGTGCGAAAACCCGCAGACACTCGGCCATCTGTGGAATGAGTTTGGCACTTGCCCTAGACCCACTACAATTTGCATACCGCCCCAACAGATCCACGGATGACGGCAATCGCCATCGCACTGCACACTTCCCTATCCCATCTGGACAAGAGGAATACCTATGTAAGAATGCTGTTCATCGACTACAGCTCAGCCTTCAACACCATAGTGCCCTACAAGCTCATCATTAAGCTAGGGGCCCTGGGTCTGAAACCCGCCCTGTGCAACTGGGTCCTGGACTTCCTGACGGGCCGACCCCAGGTGGTGAAGGTAGGCAACAACACCTCTGCTACGCTGATCCACAACACGGGGGCCCCACAAGGGTGCGTGCTCAGACCCCTCCTGTACTCCATCACTGCGTGGCCACGCACATCTCCAACTCAATCATCAAGTTTGCCGATGACACCATAGTGCCCTCCAAGCTCATCACTAAGCTAGGGGCCCTGGGTGGTAGGCCTGATTACCAACAACGACAAGACAGCCTACAGGGGAGGTGAGGGCCCTGGTGGAGTGGTGCCAGGAAAGAACCTATCGCTCAACGTCAACAAAACGAAGGGGCTGATCGTGGACATCAGGAGACAGCAGAGGAAGCATGCCCCCATCCACATAGATGGGGCCTTAGTGGGCGAGGGTGAAAAGCTTCAAGTTCCTCAGCGTGCACATCACTGACAACCTGAAATGATCCAGCCACACAGACAGTGTGGTGAAGAAGGCGCAAAGACCCTAACAAACTTCTACAGATGCACCATTGAGAGCATCCTGTTGGGCTGAATCCGCCTGGTACGGCAACTGCACTGTCCTCAACCGCAAGGCTCTACAGAGGGTGGTGCGGTCAGCCCAACGCATCACCAGGGGCACACTGCCTGCCCTTCAGGATATCTACAGCACAGGAAGGCCAAGAAGATCATCAAGGACCTCAGCCACCCGAGCCACGGCCTGTTCACCCCGCTACCATCTAGAAGGCGGAGACAGTAAAGGTGCATCAAAGCTGGGACCGAGAGACTGAAAAACAGCTTCCATCTCCAGGCCATCAGACTTTTAAATATTCACCACTAGCCGACCTCCGCCCAGTACCCCACTCTGAACTTTAGTCACTGTTACTAGCCGGCTACCACCCGGTACTCAACCCTGCACCTTAGAGACTGCTGCCCTACATAGTCATTGAACACTGGTCACTTTAATAATGTTTACATATTGTTTTACCCACTTCATATGTATATACTGTATTCTAGTCAAGGCTCATCCTATATAACTGCTGCTGTACACACCTTTTCTATTCATATGCTGTCCATAATGTCAATCCACACCATCATATACATATACATTTATATTCCGGATAGTTGACATTGCTCGCTCTAATAATTATATATTTCTTAATTCCTATATTGTTATTTTTTGGGATTTGCGTGTATTGATTTGTTAGGTATTTGTATTTATTTATTTATATATTTATTAAGGATCCCCATTAGCTGCCAAGGCAGTAGCTACTCTTCCTGGGGTCCAGCAACATTAAGGCAGTTATATACAATTAAAAATATTACATGACATTACATTTCATAAAAATTTTTCACAACACGTTAAGTGTGTTCCCTCAGGCCACTACTCTACTACCACATATCTACAATTCAAAATCCATGTGTACGTGTGTGTGTCTTATCATGTGTATGTGTAAGAGTGTGTCTGTGCCTGTGTGTGTCTCTTCACAGCGATTCCATAAGGTGTATTTTTAACTGTATTTTAAATCTGATTCTACTGCTTGCATCAGTTACCATAAGACTGCTGAACAATTAATCAAATGTCCACCCGGACTATTTACATTGACACCCCTCCCCTTTGTTCTTATGCTGCTGCTGTTTATTATCTATGCATAGTCACTTTACCCCTATCTACATGTACAAATTACCTCGACTAACCTGTACCCCTGCACATTGCCTCGGTACCGGTACCACCTGTATATAGCCTCGTTATTTTATGGTGTTACTTTTTATTTTATTTTTTACTTTATTTCGTAAAATGTTTCTAAACTCTATTTCTTGAACTGCATTGTTGGTTAAGGGCTTGTAAGTAAGCATTTCACGGAAAGGTCTACACCTGTTGTATTTGGCGCATGTCTTGTGGGGTGGGTGTGCATGGGTGTACGAGCTGTGTGCTAGTAGTTTAAACAGACACCTCGGTACATTCAGCATGTCAACACCTCTTACAAAAACAAGTAGTGATGAAGTCAATCTCCCCTACATTTTGAGCCATGAGATTTACAATAATGTTAGTTCTCCGTGTACATTTAAGGGCCAGCCGTGCTGCTCAGTCCTGAGACAATTGTACTTTTCCGAGGTCCCTCTTTGTGGCACCTGACCACACGACTGAACAGTAGTCCAGGTGTGACAAAACTAGACATGCCTGTTGGACCTGCCTTGTTGATAGTGTTGTTAAAAAGGCAGAGCAGCGCTTTATTATGGGTGGACTTCTCACCTTCTTAGCTACTGTTGTATCAACATGTTTTGACCATGACAGTTTACAATCCAGGGTTACATGAAGCAGTTTAGTCACCTGAACTTGCTCAATTTCCACATTATTTATTACAAGATTTAGTTGAGGTTTAGGGTTTAGTGAATGATTTGTCCCAAATAAAATGCTTTTAGTTTTCGAAATATGTAGGACTAACTTATTCTTTGCCACCCATTCTGAAACGAACCGCACTTAAGTCTAACATAAACAGCTCCCACAATCTTTTTATCATCAATTTCTCTCAGCCAATCAGTAATTTGTGTAAGTGCTGTGTTTGTTGAATGTCCTTCCCTGTAAGTGTGCTGAAAGTCTGTTAGCAAAATAGCATTGTATCTGATGAAACACAATTTTTTCCAAAAGTTTACTAAGGGTTGGTAACAGGCTGATTGGTTGGCTATTTGAGCCAGTAAAGGGGGCTTTACTATTCTTGGGTAGCAGAATTACTTTTGCTTCCCTCCAGGCCTGAGGGCACACACTTTCTAGTAGGTTTAGATTGAAGATATGGCAAATAGGAGTGGCAATATCGTCCACTATTGCCCTCAATAATTTTCCATCCAAGTTGTCTGACCCTGGTGGCTTGTCATTGTTGATAGAAAACAATTCTTTCACCTCTTCCACACTCACTTTACGGAATTCAAAATGACAATGCCTGTCTTTCATAATTTGATAATTTATACTTGGATGTGTAGTGTCAGCGTTTGTTGCTGGCATGTCGGGCCTAAATTTGCTAATCTTGCCAATAAAAAAATAATTAAAGTAATTGGTAACATCAGTGTGTTTTGTGATGAATGAGCCATCTGATTCAATGAATGATGCAGCTGAGAGTGCCTTTTTGCCCAACATTTTATTTAAGGTGCTCCAAAGCTTTTTACTATCATTCTTTATATAATTTATCTTTGTTTCATATTATAGTTACTTCGTCTTTTTATTCAGTTTAGTCACATGATTTCTCAATTTGCAGTACGTTTGCCAATCGGTTGTGCAGACAGACTTATTTGCCATTCCTTTTGCTTCATCCCTCTCAACCATACAATTTTTCAACAGTTTTTACAGTCATTTTCTTAAATGGGTGCATTCTTATTAGTAACTGGAATAAGCAATTTCATAAATGTGTCAAGTGCAGCATCTGGTTGCTCCTCATTACACACCACAGACCAACAAATATTCTTTACATCAACATAGGAATCACTACAAAACTTATTGTATGACCTCTTATACACTATATATGGCCCAGCCTTTGGAACTTCGGTTTTCCTAGATATGGCTACTATATTGTGATCACTACATCCGATGGATTTGGATACTGCATTAAATAACATTTCTGCAGCATTGGTGAAGATGTGATCAATACATGTTGATGTTTTCATTCCTGTGCTGTTTGTAACTACCCTGGTTGGTTGACTGAAACTGATCCAGGTTGGGTAGCTTGATGAAAGCATGTCAATATTTAAATCACCCAGAAAATATACCTCTCTGTTGATATCACATACATTATCAAGCATTTCACACATGTTATCCTGATACTGATTGTTAGCACTTGGTGGTCTAAAGCATCTTCCCACAAGAATGGGCTTTAGGTGAGGCAGATGAACCTGTAGCCATATTACTTCAACAGTATTTAACATGAAATCCTCTCTAAGCTTTACAGGAATGTGGTTCTGAATATAAACAGCAACACCTCCACCATTGGCATTTCTGTCTTTTCTGTAGATGGTTTAAGCATGTATTGCTACCACTGTATCAAAGGTATTATCTAAGTGAGTTTCAGAGATACATATGTTAACGTGGGCTATTTTTAGCACTTTTCTGGGATGCTTGATTGTTTTCATTGCTTTACTGGGAAGCTTAGCAGAAGTAGACATGCTCATGTTATTTATGTTAGTGCAAGGTGAGCTGCACACAGTGGACTTCCTATTAAGGCACACCGCCTCAGTGCTAACAGTATAACTCTGGTTCATAGGCACATGATTGCTGCATACAATAGCTGTTGGATCAGCAGAGTCAGTCAGGGCAGTTAGAGGGACATACATTAGGTTACTCACACTTACATTGTGTCTACCAACGCCCCAAGGATGATGTACATTTGGTGAAGCATTATGACAACTCAGTGACACAATGGTAGGGATTAACTGAGCTGGGCTTGGGTCATTGATAAGTCATTGTCTCAACGCAGCCTTATAGGTATTACTGCACTGTTGGAGCTAGTAACATAAGCATTTCGCTACACCCAAAATATGTGAACGCGACCAATACAATTTGATTTGAATATGAAGGAATCTCCACCACTACACCCCTTATGCTGGGTGTACACTACACGACTTTCAAAATCCTAACATCGCTGAGCCTCTCACATTAAATGACCGTCTTTCTTGTACTTTTTTGTCTTGCCAACGTAGTGGTGCACAAAGTAAACAATGTGGCACAGACGGGGGGTCACACACTACAAGATCCTTCACTTGGTCATGAGGATTCTCGATACCACCACGCTCTCTCGCGAAAACAATGATGTGATGATGTGATTAGATTGTGTAGAACGAGCTGTGGCTCAAAGCAGCCTCATGAACGTTTTCAGTCAGACATTCACGCTTGCCATACAGAGTTGAAATACCTAGCCAATAAATGTTTAATTGAATAACATTGCTTGTGAACTTCAGAGCTGTAACAATTTTGACGCTTTGGTTAAAAGGCAATTACAAATGCATACTAGTAGGCTAGTAGTAGTCATCGCTCGAGAGTCTACACATTCTGGGTGATGCGAAACATCATCATCTCACTGGTTTCTTCTCTGGCGAGCTCTCATTGGCTATTGCAGATCACCGTTCTCAAAACTTGTCGCTGCACATCTCACACTACAAGAGCATTGCAGATTTTGTGCCAATAAAATCAAACATGTTTTTAAATATCGGGATGTCTGGGCGTGCTCAAATACGGGATTGGTGGCCCTCAGATTGCATTACTGACCCGTTCACATTAAACAAGTGTCGGTGACGGCCTCGCGCCCCGAGTAGGCAACGATCTCAAAAAACTTGTCTGGGACAGCTCCACTACCGTTCAAAAGTTTGGGGTCACTTAGAAATGTCCTTGTTTTCGAAAGAAAAGCAATTTTTTTGTCCATTAAAACAACATAAAATTGATCAGAAGACACATACAGTGTAGACATTGTTAATGTTGTAAATGGCTATTGTAGCTGGAATCGGCTGATTTTTTTATGGAATACCTACATAGACGTACAGAGGCCCATTATCAACAACCATCAGTCCTGTGTTCCAATGGCACGTTGTGTTTGCTAATCCAAGTTTATCATTTTAAAAGGCTAATTGATCATTAGAAAAGCCTTTTGCAATTATGTTAGCACAGCTGAAAACTGTTGTGCTGATTAAAGAAGCAATAAAACTGGCCTTTTTGAGACTAGTTGAGTATCTGGAGCATCAGCAATTGTGGGTTTGATTACAGGATCAAAATGGCCAGAAACAAATAACTTTCTTCTGAAACTCGTCAGTTTATTCTTGTTCTGAGAAATGAAGGCTATTCCATGCGAGAAATTGCCAAGAAACTGAAGATCTCATACAACGCTGTGTATTACTCCCTTCACAGAATAGCGCAAACTGGCTCTAACCAGAATAGAAAGAGGAGTGGGAGGCCCCAGTGCACAACTGAGCAAGAGGACAAATACATTAGAGTGTCTAGTTTGAGAAACAGACACCTCACAGGTCCTCAACTGGCAGCTTCATTAAATAGTACCCGCAAAACACCAGTCTCAACGTCAACAGCGAAGAGGCGACTCCGGGATGCTGACCTTCTAGGCAGAGTTGCAAAGAAAAAGCCATATCTCAGACTGGCCAATAAAAAGAAAATATTAAGATGGGCAAAAGAACACAGACACTGGACAGAGGAAGATTGGAAAAAAGTGTTAAGGACAGACGAATCGAAGTTTGAGGTGTTCGGATCACAAAGAAGAACATTTGTGAGACGCAGACCAAATGAAAAGATGCTGGAGGAGTGCTTGATGCCATCTGTCAAGCATGGTGGAAGCAATGTGATGGTCTGGGGGTGCTTTGGTGGTGGTAAAGTGGGAGATTTGTACAGGGTAAAAGGGATCTTGAAGAAGGAAGGCTATCACTCCATTTTGCAACGCCATGCCACATCCTGTAGACGGCACTTGATTGGAGCCAATTTCCTCCTACAACAGGACAATGACCCAAAGCACAGCTCCAAACTATGCAACAACTATTTAGGGAAGAAGCAGTCAGCTGGTATTCTGTCTATAATGGAGTGGCCAGCACAGTCACCGGATCTCAACCCTTTTGAGCTGTTGTGGGAGCAGCTTGACCGTATGGTACGTAAGAAGTGCCCATCAAGCCAATCCAACTTGTGGGAGGTGCTTCAGGAAGCATGGGGTGAAATCTCTTCAGATTACCTCAACAAATTGACAACTAGAATGCCAAAGGTCTGCAAGGCTGTAATTGCTGCAAATGGAGGATTCTTTGACGAAAGCAAAGTTTGAAGGACACAATTATTATTTCTAACCTTGTCAATTTTATTTTATTTTACCTTTATTTAACTAGGCAAGTCAGTTAAGAACAAATTCTTATTTATAATGACGGCTTACACCGGCCAAACCCGGACGACGCTGGGCCAATTGTGCGCCGCCCTATGGGACTCCCAATCACGGCCGGTTGTGATACAGCCTGGAATTGAACCAGGGGGTCTGTAGTGACGCCTCAAGCACTCAGCACTCAAGCACTCAAGCACTGAGATGCAGTGCCTTAGACCGCTGTGCCACTCGGGAGCCCTATGACTACATTTCCTATGCATTTTGCTATATTTCCTATTCAAACTCATTTCATGTATGTTTTCATGGAAAACAAGGATATTTCTAAGTGACCCCAAACTTTTGAACGATAGTGTAAATCGGGGCCAAAATCGTATAGGGTACGCCCGGCTTTATACCTATCCTCTAGACCCATCAAAATCTGCAAACATCAAAAGAGGAAAGGGTAGGGAGCAAATTTGGTACGGCTTTCAGCCTCCCTGCTAGAATAAAGCTTAATAATAATATAATGATGCTTTAATACTGACCCTGTGTTTGGCTGCGCTGCTGAGGCTCTGGGTGTGTCTCCTCCACAGGCTGAGGGCGGTGCCCAGCGTTGCCCGTCTGCGAACGTCTGCCATCAGGCCCATGAGGCGTCGCTGCTCCCTGCCGACTCTGACGTAGTCCCTCCACTGAGAGAAGGCCACACTGAGGGAGGGACGTAGCATCCGGCCCACCACACTCACCATGACACCCTGACAAAGAGAAAAATGGAGGTAAGGGGTATAGAGAGAAGACGGATATTCTTTTACTTTTGGCATTATTTGATGTTTTGATAAAGGATGCAAGAGTGTTTGGAGATTATACAAACACAGGATGAAATACCTTTAATCTGGGTGAGCTCTTGTGATCTGGGAGACTTTGATGCGAGAGACAGAACGTTTGGTCACCCTCTGCAAAATCAACATGGTTCTCGACCTGGATGCTGTGAGGAGAGCAGAGCAAAAGGCCTTGAAGCAGGGTCACACAATGTGTTTGTGTTTGTGTGCGTCAGTCATATTCTAACAAACACTCACCACCTTTCAAACAATGTGTGTGTGTGTGTATTCACCAGACTGACCAGGTCTTGAGACTGTCCAATGGGGATGAGGCCAGTAGGGGGTGACCTCTGTCCATCTGTGCTGAAGAGGAGCTGTTTGACCAATCGCTGAGCCCCGTGCCGATGTTATGCTCCGCCTCAGCAAGCTTCAGGGACAAGGAGAGGGGAGAGGTGCTGCCGAACCCTGAGGAAGAGGACGAGGAATCCAGCGCTGCCAGTCTAGTCCTGAACCTGTGCACCCTGCAGGCCTGGGAATCCCACGCCAGCTCACGCCAACGCTGCAGCGCCAATCTCACCTGCTCCCTCGCCCGGGCCACACAGTACAGTCTGAGACAGGTGGGGGGAGAGAGAGCAAGGGAGGGAAAGAGAGAAGGAGAGACGGAGCACATTCTAAGTATACTCCAAAACAAGAAAGTGAAAAGGAAAGAAATCCACGGAGCAAGAAAAAGAGGCCAAGACGAGAGAGCAGCAGTGTGGTGGTACCTACCTGGCTAGCTGGAGCTTGCGCCTCTCCCTCCTCCAGGAGTGAAGGCTTCTCTGGAGCTGCAGGTTGTCACACAACTCCTCCAATGTGATGAGCCTGGCACCACCATACAACTTTGGCGTCACCGCCTCACTCTGCCTCATATTCCCTACAACATGTGAGATTGATCACGCACTTGCACTTTAACAGCCATGGAATTCATGAAGGACTGCTGGGTGTACAGGCATCTGCTGCAGTCCTGCTCTGGAGCAAAAGCCTGTACACCCAGTAGCTCGACGAGCATTGAGAGTTGGCCTTCCCTTGGTGGATGTATGGGAAAGAAGAAGTGAATGACAGAAGGTTTCATTAAAGTGAAGACACCAGGCCAACCTGTCAGTGTCCCTAGGGTCAGGGCCTGTGTTCTTCTCCTCTCCAGCAGGTGTGTGAGGAGGTGCGTGTGTAGGGACCGCAGCTCTGTGGCTCTCCTCCAGCTCTGCAGGGTGTGTGTAGCCGTCCGATCATTCCTCTCGCTGCAGTAACACACACACGCCGCCCTGCGCTCAACTACACTCCGCCAGCCACGCAGGATGCTGTGATGGGGTCACACACACAAACAATGTTGATCAATGTTACAAACTCTGAAGGCACACTTGAAACTAACTGGAGCACACTTGAATCAAAATGGAGACATTTCATTTGATATGATTTCTCTATTTGTCTATGCTCCATAGACTGACTGTGAGAGCTGTGCCCGTTGCCTTCTCTCCTGTATCTCTAGGGCCCCTTTCCTGGCCAGGACCCTGCGGTTCCAGGATGTAAACGCCTCCTGCAGTCTCCTCCACTCCAGCAGGTAGTGCCACCTCTGCACCTGTCTGTGCTCGCATTCTGCCCGGGCAAACTCCTGGCGCCACCTCCCAAAGGCCACTGGTGAGAGGAGAGGAGATGAGGAGGCCAAAAGATATTCATCATCCCAATGACTCTAATAGACACTTAATTAGCCACTGGGCCATAATCGTGCCACTTCCGTGCAAGCCAGTGCATGCTAGTGCCAGAGAGGTTTGAAACCCAAAGACTCGACAAGGAAGACTCAGACCGACGGCAATTCAGTCAGTTGAGTCTCTTGGTTTGAAACCACTCTGGCACTACTAGCTAGCACTGAAAAGGCAAGCACAGAGTGACGGGAACTATTTTGTGTGTGAATGCCAGCTGTTTAGCACAGGGTTTTCCAAACCTTTTTTGCACACGACCCCAAATTGATACTAGAAAATGCAGGGGACCCCACTTGGAATTTTTTGATTCCCCAGTTAACACTGTGTTCATATTCACTAAATCTTAGGTCCCGGAGGCTGCCCCAACACATAATAATGACATGAACGCTCATTCTTATTGTGTAAAAGGCCATTAGTTGACACTAAAAGGTTGTATTCTATACCCATTTGAAGATAAAAAAACGTTTCTCAGAAGATTTATATTTCAGGGGACCCCGCATGGGGTGCCAACCCCAAGTTTGGGAACTACTGGTCTAGCAGGAGAAGACAATTAGCATGTTGTAGAGGTAGAGGGAGGCCCTATGCCAGTCAGTGTGAGAGTTGGGACTTGGATGTAAACAAGGCTGTCGTGGGTTTGTTTGAGGTCAGAGGATGACTTAAGAGGCGGACTCACTGACACACACATACGCACACACACACCACTTGCCTGCTAAAATTTGTCTGGAGAGCATCTGTTCGATCTCGACACACACACGCTGCAACCGGGCCCCATGTGTCTGCTCACGCCAGCGCTGGGCGGCCCTCCTGTGTGTGGCAGTTATATGGAGAGGGAGAGAGACCGACAGAGAGAGGGGAAGGGAGGGAGAGATAAGATCATTATTGTCACGAATTCCGCCGAGACTGCTCCTCCTCCTTGTTCGGGCAGGCTTCGGCGTTCGTCGTCTCCGGAGTACTAGCTGCTACCGTTTGATGTTCTCTATGTTTGTTTGGTTTTGTCTGATTAGTGCACCTGTTCCATATCACGTATTGATTATGTCACCTATAAGTTTCCTTTGGTTTTGTTTGTAGTTGTGTGTTGTTGTCCGCCTGTCCGTTGGTGATTTGTATTTGCTCTCGTGTATGTAGTGTATTGACGCACTGTTTGCGTAATCACTTGTATTTTGTGTATTTTGCGCACAGTATGCGTAATCGCTCGCCTCCGTTTTGTTGAGGCCCGTTATTTTGTATTGTCATGTTTTGACAGTAAAGTCTGTTGGACTAAGCTTCTGTGTCCTGCGCCTGACTCCAACACCACATCCACATCAGCTCGTGACAGAACAACACACCATACAATGGAGTCAGCAGGAGCAGCGGCGGCGACCGAGTCGCTGGAGGATCGGGTCAGCTGCCAGGACGCCAGTATCCAGCAACTCGGCTCCGCCATGCAGGAGGTAATGAACACCCTGCGCCGATGGGAAAGGTGAGGCGTGCCCACACCTCCTCCTACATTACCACCACCATCGGCCAGCCCTACCAGACCAGCTCCGGAATCCAGTGGGATTTGGCTCTCGCTCCCGAGGGCGTATGATGGCACCGCAGCCGGGTGTCAGGGGTTCCTCCTGCAGGTGGAACTCTACCTGGCCACCATACACCGCCCTCATCTCCTGTCTCTCCGGCAAGGCGTTGGAGTGGGCCAACGCCGAATGGAGGGGAATAGACGCCGCCACCATCAGCTAAGCTACGCTTCAGGGCAGTTTTCGATCACCCTCCTGAGGGTAAAGCGGCGGGGGAGCGTCTGTTCCACCTCCGACAGGGGAAGAGGAGCGCACAGGAGTTCGCCCTGGATTTCCGGACTCTAGCGGCGGATGCGGGGTGGAATGAGAGGGCCCTCATCGACCACTATAGGTGTAGCCTGCGTGAGGACATTCGTCGAGAGCTGGCCTGCAGGGACACCAATCTGTCCTTCGACCAGCTAGTGGACATGCCCATTCGTCTGGATACCCTGCTGGCCACCCGCGGACGTCCCGAGATGGGGCCGTCCATTCCATCCCCCAGCACCTCCGAGCCGAGCCCAATGGAGCTCGGGGGCGCTGGCGCTAGAGAGAGAAGGAGAGAGAACCCGAGGGGGCCCGTCCCCTGCACCAGCTGTGGCCGTGGAGGACACACTGCGGCTAGGTGCTGGGGAGGGTCTCCAAGGAATCGAGGCAACAGGTTGCGCACTGGGGAGTCATTTCAGGTGAGTAGGCGCCCCACTCACCCAGAGCTCTCTGTTGTTCACTTGTGTATACCTGTGGTATTTCCTCAGGTTGCATCTCATTCCCAGCATAAGGCGCTAGTCGATTCAGGCGCAGCTGGGAATTTTATTGATCGGAAATGTTGTTCTAAGTTAGGGATTCCCCTCCTGCCCGTTGATGCACCCTTTCCTGTCCATGCCCTAGATAGCCGCCCGTTGGGATCTGGGTTGATTAGGGAGGTCACAGCGCCACTAAAGATGAAGACGCAGGGGAGTCATGAGGAGATTATTCAGTTGTACCTAATTGACTCTCCTGCGTATCCCGTGGTGCTGGGGCTTCCTTGGTTGATCACCCATGACCCCACCATTTCGTGGCAACAGAGGGCTCTCAAGGAATGGTCTGGCCAGTGTGTTAGGCGATGTTTAGGTGTTTCCGTTGGGGCTACCACGGTGGAGAGTCCGAACCAAGTGCCCGCAATGCACATTCCCCCTGAGTATGAGGATTTGGCACTCGTGTTCAGCAAGACGAGGGCGACGCGATTGCCACCTCATAGACAGGGAGATTGTGCGATAAACCTCCAGACAGGTGCGGCACTTCCGCGGAGCCATGCGTATCCCTGTCTCAAGAGGAGACGGCGGCTATGGAAACATACATAGCTGAGTCCCTGAGACAGAGAGACATACGGCCCTCCACTTCCCCTGCGTCCTCGAGTTTCTTTTTTGTGAAGAAAAAGGATGGAGGTTTGCGCCCGTGTATTGATTATCGTAGTCTCAATCAGATCACTGTGAAATACAGTTACCCTCTACCTCTGATTGTGAGTATGACTGAATCATTACGCGGAGCGCGTTTCTTCACAAAACTGGATCTCAGGAGCGCTTATAACTTGGTGCGCATTAGGGAGGGAGATGAATGGAAGACGGCATTTAGTACCACCTCAGGTCATTATGAGTATCTTGTCATGCCATACGGGTTAATGAATGCTCCTTCAGTCTTCCAATCATTTGTGGACGAGATCTTCCGGGACCTGCATGGGCAGGGAGTGGTAGTGTACATTGACGACATCCTAGTGTACTCTGCTACCCGAGCCGAGCATGTAGCCCTGGTGCGCCGAGTGTTGGGTAGGCTGTTGGAGCATGACCTGTATGTCAAGGCAGAGAAATGTCTGTTTTTCCAGGAGTCCATCTCCTTCTTGGGTCATCGGTTGTCCGCGTCAGGGGTGAAGATGGAGGTTGACCGGGTGTCAGCCGTGCGTAACTGGCAAACCCCAACCACTGTTAAAGAGGTGCAGCAGTTTTGGGGTTTTGCCAATTACTACCGGAGGTTTATCCGGGGTTTTGGACAGGTAGCAGCTCCCATTACTTCCCTGTTGAAGGGGGGCTCGGTGCGTTTGCAGTGGTCGGCTGAAGCGGACAGGGCGTTTTGTAAACTGAAGGACCTGTTCACTTCGGCTCCGGTGCTGGCGCACCCGGATCCCACTTTAGCGTTCCAGGTAGAGGTGGACGCGTCAGAGGCCGGTATTGGGGCAGTCCTGTCGCAACGCTCCGGCACGCCTCCTAAGCTCCGTCCCTGCGCTTTTTATTCTAAAAAGCTCAGCCCGGCGGAGCGTAATTATGACGTAGGGGACAGGGAGCTGTTAGCCGTGGTTCAAGCCCTAAAGGTGTGGAGGCATTGGCTTGAGGGGGCTCAACACCCTTTTCTCATTCTGACTGACCATCGTAACCTGGAGTACATCCGGGCAGCTAGGAGATTGAACCCTCATCAGGCTAGGTGGAACATGTTCCTGACCCGGTTTGTTTTTAAGATCACTTACATCCCAGGGTCCCAGAACGGTAAGGCAGACGCCCTGTCCCGGCAGTATGACACAGAGGAGAGGTCCATTGAGCCCACTCCCATACTGCCGGAGTCTTGTCTGGTGGCACCGGTGGTATGGGAGGTCGATGCGGAAATTGAGTGGGCGTTACGCACCGACCCTACTCCCCCAGAGTGTCCAGTGGGTCGGACGTACGTGCCGCTCGAGGTCCGTGATCGTCTCATCTATTGGGCTCATACGTCACCCTCCTCTGGACATCCAGGTATTGGCCGGACAGTGCACTGCCTTAGTGTTAAGTACTGGTGGCCAACATTGGCTAGGGACGTGAGGGTTTATGTCTCCTCCTGCTCGGTGTGCGCTCAGTGTAAGGCGCCTAGACACCTGCCCAGGGGGAAGTTACAACCCCTGCCCGTTCCACAACGGCCGTGGTCTCACCTCTCGGTGGACTTTGTTACGGACCTTCCCCCCTCTCAGGGGAACACCACTATTCTGGTCGTTGTGGATCGGTTCTCTAAGGCCTGTCGTCTCATTCCTATGCCGGGTCTCCCTACTGCCCTACAGACCGCTGAGGCTTTGTTCACCCACGTCTTCCGGCACTACGGGGTTCCCGAGGATATAGTGTCTGATCGGGGTCCCCAATTCACCTCTAGAGTCTGGAGGGCGTTCATGGAACGCTTGGGGGTCTCGGTTAGCCTTACCTCGGGTTACCACCCTGAGAGTAATGGGCAGGTGGAGAGAGTGAACCAGGATGTGGGTAGGTTTCTGAGATCCTATTGCCAGGGCCGGCCGGAGGAGTGGTCGGGGTATATCCCCTGGGCAGAGATGGCTCAGAACTCTCTTCGCCACTCCTCTACTAACCTGACCCCTTTTCAGTGTGTGTTAGGTTATCAGCCGGTTCTGGCACCATGGCATCAGAGCCAGATCGAGGCTCCTGCGGTGGATGAGTGGTTTCGGCGCTCGGAAGAAACGTGGAACGGTGCACATGTACATCTGCAGCGGGCCATCCGCAGGCAGAAGGCGAGCGCCGATCTCCACTGCAGTGAGGGTCCAGTCTACGCCCCTGGAGATCGAGTCTGGCTCTCGACTCGAAACCTGCCCCTTCGCCTGCCCTGCCGGAAGCTTGGCCGGCGGTTTGTGGGGCCATTTAAAGTCCTGAGGAAATTGAACGAGGTGTGTTACAAGTTGCAACAGCCTAATGACTATCACATTAACCCCTCGTTCCATGTGTCTCTCCTCAGGCCGGTGGTAGCTGGTCCACTCCAAGAGAGTGAGATAAGAGAGACCCCTCCGCCCCCACTGGACATCGAGGGGGCTCTGGCGTACTCAGTCCGGTCCATCGTGGATTCGAGACGTCGGATGGGGGGTCTACAATATCTCGTGGAGTGGGAGGGGTACGGTCCGGAGGAACGGTGCTGGGTGCATAGGAGGGACATTTTAGATCCATCCCTCCTGACTGAGTTCCACCGTAGTCATCCTACGCGCCCTGCTCCACGTCCTCCTGGCCGTCCCCGAGGCCGGAGTCGGCGTCAAGGGGGGGGGGGGGTACTGTCACGAATTCCGCCGAGACTGCTCCTCCTCCTTGTTCGGGCAGGCTTCGGCGTTCGTCGTCTCCGGAGTACTAGCTGCTACCGTTTGATGTTCTCTATGTTTGTTTGGTTTTGTCTGATTAGTGCACCTGTTCCATATCACGTATTGATTATGTCACCTATAAGTTTCCTTTGGTTTTGTTTGTAGTTGTGTGTTGTTGTCCGCTTGTCCGTTGGTGATTTGTATTCGCTCTCGTGTATGTAGTGTATTGACGCACTGTTTGCGTAATCACTTGTATTTTGTGTATTTTGCGCACAGTATGCGTAATCGCTCGCCTCCGTTTTGTTGAGGCCCGTTATTTTGTATTGTCGTGTTTTGACAGTAAAGTCTGTTGGACTAAGCTTCTGTGTCCTGCGCCTGACTCCAACACCACATCCACATCAGCTCGTGACAATTATTCTTGGATCTGTACAGTATGTGTTAATATTGTTGAGTTTGAGGTATTAAAATGTCAATCCTATACATAGAATGGTAGGATCAATTACTGAACAAAAACCTAAACGCAACATGTAAAGTGTTGGTCCCATGTTCCATGACCTGAAATAAAAGATCCCAGAACTTTTCCATATGCACAAAAAGCTTATTTCTCTCAAATGTTGTGCACAAATGTGTTTACATCCCTGATAGTGAGCATTTCTCCTTTACATAAGCTGCCTCCAACGCCGTTTTAAAGAATTTGGCATTACGTCCAAATCAGCCTCACAACCGCAGACCATGTATAACCACGCCAGCCCAGGACCTCCACATCTGGCTTCTTTATCTGCGGGATCGTCTGAGACCAGCTACCCGGACACTGATGAAATTTAGTATTTCTGTCTGTAATAAAGCCCTTTTGTGGGGAAAAACTCATTCTGATTGGCTTGGCCTGGCACCCCAGTGGGTGGGCCTGGCTCCCAAGTGGGTGGCAGCGCCACCTTCCCAGTCATGTGAAATCCATAGATTAGGGCCTAATGAATTTATTTCAATTGACTGATTTCCTTATATGAAATGTAACTCTGTAAAATCATGAAAATTGTTGCACGTTGTGTTTATTTTTGTTCGGTATATCAGTTGAGGACATAAGCTGGAAGATCTTCATAGAATATTAATGGGCCATTTCCAGTTGAAAATAAATTGAATTTCAGTTTGTCTCCTGGTCCATTCTAGCATGGCCATTTAGTGACTCCAAGGCCATCACCACTGTAACCTAGCCCTATGGCCATCGCTATTTGGCCGCACTAGTAGGGTTATGACCTGACGATGTGTTGCAGCCTATCCCTCTGTTGTCTTCTCTGTTCTGCTCTCTCTTGCCACAGCAGGAGGCTGTGCTGCAGTAGGCTCTTCCTGTGGAAGCCAGCACTCTGATTGGCCCTGGCAGATCGCTCCTCCTCCCTCTGTGTGGCCCGGGCCGCCCACACGCTCCAGGCTGCAGCCAGGCAGTACGCCCTGGGTAAGAGCAGGGGTGTATTCAATTTCATGGAACGTTCTTATCATTGCAGGTAGAAATGTAATGTGTAGAGCTGACATGACCCACAGTTTTACATGACAAACACTCATACCTGATCTACACAATACATTTCTACCTGAACATTGTAACATTGCACCCTCCTGAACAGACAACAACACTAGGCTAAACTCAGGAGATGACCACACAGTACCATGGGATTGAAGTTGGAATATATCATTGTATAGTTAAATACAACTATGTCCCCTCAGGATCCACTAAGGGCTCTACTAAATCAGATCCAATTAGCCGACATCCCCATAGCGGTTGTTTTGGTTATGTCAGAGGTGGAACTGTGTTAGAGCTGTCAAATCCACAAGTGGCTCCCGGCTTTATATCTAAAGCGGACATTACCATTGGCTGCACAGAGTCGCATTAAGAGAGATCCCATGCAGCCATGTTTACAAGTTTGAACACTGGAATGTGAGATGTAATCTACACCTCGATTAGGCTGATAGCAATCCTCATCATTTTGTTTAATGATTTTAAATTTGAATGTCATTATATCTATTTGGCCTACACTTTCTCCCTCTGAACTAACGCGAGTGGGACGGATGTTGCTTTGTGATAATGATCAAGAGCAGCTGCTCACCGATTTGACAGCACCAACGCAGTTCCACCTCGGCTCCGAAACCGGCAAAACATAAACTATGTGGGTGTCGGCTATCGCCGGTTAACACTTGATCTGATTGAATCTAGGCCTAAGACTGTAACAACACAAACTACTATCAATAACGGTCACTTTACCTGTGCTGTTGTGTGGCCAGACGTGCTGTGGCCCAGGCTGCTCTCCACACGGTGTAGGCCCGACTCTGCAGCCTGTGGTCCCAGTGGAGGGCTGCCCTCTGGGCTTGCAGCGCCCCCGCCTGCAACCTCATACCAGCCTGCCTCCACACCAGCCAGTGCTTACACAGCAGAGTCAGACTGGTATGGGACAAACACAGCAAAATGTTACAGGGCCCAAGTCTTTGAGGTTGTTATTACAGATGTTTGTGCATTCAGTTCACATGTTTTGTTCACACGTTCAGGGGTACATGCTGTAGGGCATCTCTCCCATACACAGTCGAGTGACATTGCCCTAGATACTGAGGTCAATTGTGGGCCATTCCATGGTAACAGAATGACGATGAGACTCTGATGTTTTAAAATGTATGCCAAACAAAAACCATTGATTACAAAGTTAAACAAACCATACATTTCTATAAACAAGGACTACTTTCAACAATTTCCACAGAACATTTGACAAAAACACATTTACTTGAAGAACAGTGCAGATGTAAAGTTTTGTAACAGAATGGCGGAAAAACTCTCCCTCAGTTTTTTTGTGACCAAGTTGTCACAAACTCTTAAATATCTATTCTGAATAAGATTCAAAGAAGTCTGCAGAAAGAATGGGTTGTCAGTTATGATATGACACCTTGAGTTTGAAAAATGTTATTTTGGTTATTGAACTACAGTAAGTGAAGTGGATTAACACCTGATAAATGACAGTAACAGAATGACATCATGGGTCCCCTGATCTGTACTATACAGAAATACATAATTATGGATATGTGATGTATTCATTGTGATGTATCCTGAATAGGTACACAAAGGTATAAAAATGCAATATCCTCCTTTGCAAGGTTGGGTATTATTCTACACATTGCCTATTATTCTAATGAGCTCCCCCCCAAACAAGACCAAATATGGTTGGTACAGACCGGAAGAGCTCTGTACCCCACCCGAGCCCGACAGGCCCCAACATTATACATCGAGTTAGGGCCGGGTAAGGCCTGTTTTTCATCAATAACTAGGGTATGGGAAGGGCTCGGATATCACTAAATTGATCACTAACATTTTGAAGCTGAGCCATTTGCTCGTGGTCTGCTGCGCAGTACAGTCATATTTAACTAAGATCATAACATTGTGTCAGAAGTGCTTCAACCTTGTCAAATATAAAACAGGGGAGATTAGTTCAGAAAATAATTATGTTCGTTGAGTTTTGTCGGAGTTTAGAGAGACGAAAAGTAGCTAACAGCTAACTGCTCTCTCATGTCTCTTCATTGAGCAGAGCAGCCCAAGCGGAGCCGTTGCTATGGACACTCAGAATCGGAGCCGCCATTAGCAGAGCAAGCTGCGTGCAGGGTGTGAGTGACAGACAGAGAAGAGCAGCTAATGGATTTACTAACAGAGGAAATTATTTCTGATTATGGGTTTCGGGCACGGCCGGGCCTTAAATTTGGCAGAAGCAATAGGGTAGGGCCTGAATGTCGCAGGCACGGATAGGGCTTACAATTCATGCCCGTGCAGGGCTCTATGGACCGGACCAAATCTGAACCGATCATAGATGTCTGTTTCACAAGTATGGACATCACAGTACAGCAAAGTACAGTACAGCACAGCAGAGTAGAGTAGAGTTCAGTACAGTGCATTATACTGTACTCTACTAGTGTGCTCTACTGTTCTGTACAATACTGTGATGTACAGTACTGTACTAAAGTACAATACTGTACTGACCTATACTCTACTTTTCTTTAATGTACTGTAAACTCTACAGTACTGTCTTGTACTGACCTATACTCTACTCTACTTTTCTTTACTGTACTGTCCAAACATAGACGTCTAAATTTCAACTACTTTTCAACGTCCACGGACGTCCGGTGCTCAGTAGTTGAGGACGCAGTGGTTACAGTAAATGGAAAGAGAGGGGGCTAATGGGTAGGTGTTGGTAAGTGCCGGTAGAGGTGACATTAACTGGAGAGAGAAGAGAGAGCGAGAGAAAGAAAGAGAGGGAGGGAGAGAGAGAGGGAGGGGTTGTCCAGACTGTTTCACAATTATGAGCTATACATAACAGTATGCCAATGGAAGGGAGGACAGTAGCAGTTGACCCAACTGTGGTTTGTGACTACTATCATTTCTCCTTTTAGCCAATTCAATTGGAAGTCATTATGATACAGATTTTTCAGCATTCTGTTAAGGATTATGTAACAGTGACAAGTTTTAATCACTTAATAAATCATAATATTGTTATCAGTAAAAACACTATAACCAATTGGTAAATCTACCTTTACTTACTTAGAAAATATCTTAAAGATAAATTAAATATGACATTTTAGTCATTTAGAAGACGAATATAAATGTTTATATTAGTTGGCAAGGGTCTTTAACTAACAATAATATTGTGTTTTGATTAATTTCTAATTTTAACACATTTTCCTGGTAGATGTTTTCTAAGACCCCTTTTCCATCTGTTTAACCAGAAAAAAGGCCTTTGCTTATTCACAATTTTAGGATGGAAAATGGTTGAAAAATTGATATATCCCTTAATTTATCAAAGATATAAACTCAGCTTTCATTTCACACCAAATTCGATGTGCTCCTATGAACTTCACATGTTGGTGCTCCTTTTACATGGAAATGGCCTTGTACCCCCCCCGATTGGATTTGCAAAAGGTAAAGGAATTTTTGTTGTTGATTTTATGTTGAATTCACGTTGAACTGACATCTGTGCCCAGTGGATGGTTGTGTGTCTGTCTTACTGGTAGTGTATGAGCGATGCTCTGCCGAGCTGCATGCCCTGGATGTGGCTCCTCCATGCGCAGTAGGCCGTCCTCAGGACCAGGGTGTCACTGGGCTGGGTCAGTCTCCTCAGCAAGCAATGCACATCCCCGATGTCACCCCGCACAGAGCCAGGGCTCACGTTGAGACAATGCCTCTGTTCCACACACCTCCTCCACTGTAAGAGGAGGAGGAGTAAGTAACAGTTTGCATGAACTGTATGTTCATGAAGATTACATTACTGTATGTTGTTCGTAGCATACATTACACATACGGTGCATTCGGAAAGTATTCAGACCCCTTGACTTTTTCCACATTGTTACGTTACAGCCTTATTCTAAAATTGATTAACCACTTGGGCTCCCGAGTGGCGCAGTGGTCTAAGGCACTGCATCTCAGTGCTTGAGGCGTCACTACAGACCCCCTGGTTCGATTCCAGGCTGTATCACAACCGGCCGTGATTGGGAGTTCCCACTGGGCGGCGCACAATTGGCCCAGCGTCGTCCGGGTTTGGCCGGTGTAGGCCGTCATTGTAAATAAGAATTTGTTCTTAACTGACTTGCCTAGTTAAATAAAGGTAAAATAAAAATAAAATTGTTTTTCCCCCTCATCAATCTACATACAATACCCCATAATGACAAAGCAAAAACAAATGTATTAAAAATTAAAAACGGATATCACATAAGACCCTTTCCTCAGTACTTTGTTGAAGCACCTTTGGCAATGATTACAGCCTCAAGTCTTTTTGGGTATGACGTTACAAGCTTGGCACACCTGTATTTGGGGAGTTTCTCCCATTCTTCTCTGCAGATCCTCTCAAGCTCTGTCAGGTTGGATGGGGAGTGTCGCTGCACAGCTATTTTCAGGTCTCTCCAGAGATGTTAGATCGGGTTTAAGTCCGGGCTCTGGCTGGGCCACTCAAGGACATTCAGAGACTTGTCCCGAAGCCACTGCTGCGTTGTCTTGGCTGTGTGCTTAGGGTCATTGTCTTGTTGGAAGGTGAACCTTTGCCCCAGTCTGAGGTCCTGAGCGCTCTGGAGCAGGTTTTCATCAAGGATCTCTCTGTACTTTGCTCTGTTCATCCTTCCCTCAATCCTGACTAGTCTCCCAGTCCCTGCTGCTGAAAAACATCCCCACAGCACGATGCTGCCACCACCATGCTTCACCCTAGAGATGGTGCCAGGTTTCCTCCAGATGTGACGTTTGGCATCCAGGCCAAAGAGTTCAATATTGGTTTCATCAGACCAGATAATCTTGTTTCTCATGGTCTGAAAGTCCTTTAGGTGCCTTTTGGCAAACTCCAAGCGGGCTGTCAAGTGCCTTTTACTGAGGAGTGGCTTCTGGCTGGCCACTCTACCATAAAGGCCTGATTGGTGGAGTGCTGCAGATATGGTTGTCCTTCGGGAAGGTTCTCCCATCTCCACAGAGGAACTCTGGAGCTCTGTCAGAGTGACCATCAGGTTCTTGGTTACCTCCCTGACCAAGGCCATTATCTCCCCTGATTGCTCAGTTTGGCCGGGCGGCCAGCCCTAGAAAGAGTCTTGGTGGTTCCAAACTTCTTCCATTTAAGAATGATGGAGGCCACTGTGTTCTTGGGGACCTTCAATGCTGCAGAAATGTTTTGGTACCCTTCCCAAGATCTGTGCCTCGACACAGACCTGTCTCAGTGCTCTACGTACAATTCCTTTGACCTCATAGCTTGGTTTTTGCTAGGACATGCACTGTCAAATGTGGGACCTTATATAGCCAGGGGTGTGCCTTTCCAAATCATGTCCAATCAATTGAATTTACCACAAGTGGACTCCCATCAAGTTGTAGAAACATCTCAAGGATGATCAATGGAAACAGGATGCACCTGAGCTCAATTTCAAGTTTCATAGCAAAGGGTCTGAATATTTATGTAAATAAGGTATTCCTGTTTTTTATTTTTAATAAAAGTGCAAACATTTCTAAAAACCTGTTTTCATTTTGTCATCATGGGGTATTGTGTGTAGATTAATGAGGATTTTTATTTATTTAATCAATTTTAGAATAAGGCTGTAACGTAACAAAATGTGGAAAAAGTCAATGGTACAGAATACTTTCCGAATGCACTTTATGTCAGTTATGATAAATTAATATTCTCATACAAGCATACATTAAGGTTGGCTAGTTAGCTATCCCAGATAATAGCCATGGTTTGTTTCCATGCAATCTTGTCCACCAGCTGGCACTCTGCGGTAGCAATTGAGCCTGGGGACGAGGTTAGTTTCCATGTAACATGGAGTTGAGCACAATGTCCTCAGGAGACATGTCATGTTTGTTATTGAGCTCTGCTGTGTGGAAATCAGAGAAAACACCAAACAGACATTCTGCCCCGGCAACAACAGCACACTGTCCTCTGTTACATAGGTGGGTGCCTCACATTGGTGGTGGATGGGGTGTCTTACCCTGATACAATGTAAAGTCTAAGGACTAGTGTAAATCTCAACATAAACACCATGCACTCTTCATAGGGCCAGGAGTTCATCGTGACCATGTGACATGACCAGGAATAACTCTGGGTCCTAGTTATGGTTATGGCTAGGAGTTTTTGGCTAGGAGTTTTTCCTGATTAGGTTACATGGTGGGGAAAACCCTCTGGCCCTAGTAAGAATTGTCTGGGTGCCAGTCTGCTTCTGCTCTCTTGCCAACTCCTTATGGAATTGTAATACAATTGAAGGAGTTGGCAAGAGAGCAGAGACAGACTGGCACCCAGGCTGAATATCACTGCTGACCCGATGGAAACAGTGGGCGAGGGTCAGGGCGTCCGTCCTCCTGGCAAGGGTGTCCGTCTGGGCACGGCGGATCACCACAGCCCACCTCAGGGCAGAGAGGCCGGTCCTCAGTAAGCGTCTCCGGTGCTGGAGTCTGGCCCATGTGTGTGACTTCCACTGCTGGTCCCATGTCCTGAAGCAGCGCAACTGCAATCTGAATCTGTAGAGCGCCAGCCACCTGCTACAAGTACATTCCATACAAGTTTATTAGACACAACCCTCAGGAGCAGTTAAGAGGTACAAACATCACAATACCACAATGCATCCCCCACCTCCACACAATACCTATACACTTGAGAGGTGTTGCTGTTGAACAGATGTTCACCAAAAGTAACAGGGTTGGGTTTAATTCTTTCTACAAAGTTTGGCTGGTTGTTCATTTTTTTCCAAAACGTTAAATTTACATTGCCGTCCTAAATAGGCAGAGTTCAAATGGAATTGACACCTGTCCTGCACCTCAATGTTTTTTTGTGTGCTTTTTTTCACCCAATATTTTGTGTTAGGTGTCTGAGTGATCGCTAGTGACTTGTTATTTTTGCAGATATTTGACCTACGGAGTCCCATAATCCTCTTTACCTGTCCTCTATTGTCTCCACAAGACTGGGGCTATGAATCTCTACTGCGTCAATAGGCTGCCCAAACAAAAGAAAGGTGTTAGAGTGCCCAGGGCCATGTTCTTATGTTACACCACACACACACTGGACGCAGCCAGCCTGTAATGACACACACTCATGCATGTATGCACACTCACACCCATATAAATAGACATACACATGCACATGCACACACACACTCAGCAAAGGTGCTTAAGTGTGTCAACATACCATAGGCAAGGACTGATGAACTGCAGACAGAGCTCTTTCACCAAGAAATTCACCACTGGCATCTCCTGTCAACATATGCAATGTTACCGATGTGCCTGTGTGTGTTTGAACTAATGGGTCAATCTGACATTGCCTTTCAGGAGTAGTTGACCCAGGAGTTCTTCTGTTAGGGCCTCTCTCTGTGCCTCCATAGCCATCTCTGTTGTCTTGGCTTGGCACATTCGGAGTGCTTCTCTTCAGGTGAGCTGCCCCCTCTATGTCCGCAAGGGTCAGTTGAGCCAAATTCTCCTTGATTGCAAGTCTTTCTTCCCACAAGAGAGAATGTGACACAGCTGGATTACTTGTTTTGACTCTAGGCACCTCAAACAAATCCTCCACCCCTTTTAGAGTAGGGTAAAAACTATGCACAGTGTCCACTGAACATGACTTAGCTTGACCTGAGAGTTCATTGGACCATTTGGTATTATGCTCAGGGTACGCCACCTCTGTGCTGTTCTGTCTACCGCTGAAGCTATACTGAGAGAGGCTTGCAGGTAAAAAGTACTCATTACTTGGGAAATCTGAGCCACACATGGCCGACGCAAAAACATCAGTCTTCTTTTCTGCCTTTCTTTCAGCTTTCCTCCCTGGTTCAATGTGTGCCTTCACTAATACACTAGCAGAATGGATGTTTGTTGATTGTTGTCCAGCATTCTTTGCGATTTCGCTACGAGAATGGAGTTCGGAGAACTCGGTTTCCCTGTTGGCCTTATATGGACTTGTTGAGGAACCATCCTTGCTGGTAGAACACCTTCTGCCCGCTTTGTGACAGTGGATGATGGAGCATGACATTTTTGCACTGCAAGAGATAGAGGGCTTAGGGCCATGAGATGTGTTATCTAAAGGAGATTCAAGATTCACAGGAGATAAGGCAAAGTCTCCAGATGTATTCAGTGCCTGGGGGAGTAGGCCTAGATCCACAAATGATAAGCCGATCTCCAGGTCCAACATAGACCTATGCAAGCTCGCAGATGTCCAGGAGGACTCTAGTAGATCCTGGAATGTTGACAAGTTTTCATTCTGCTTCGGACAGGCAGGCTTTACATTGTGGACTTCGATAGGTTCCCTCTGACGCCTGTCTAGCAAGTCGGGGACTTCAGGGTAGAAAGGAGCATCTCCGGGAAAGTTAGAACCGCTGTTGCATTTTTGGACAAAAGAGACACATTCTCTCTCCTCTTGCTGTTGACGTCGCCTGCCCCATTTCCCAACCCAATCGACACACTTGCCACCATCACCTCGACCCACTATTGAGCCATAAGGATGACCAGAGCTCAATGATGCACCCCCTTGTAACCTAATAGGAACACTGATATCCCTGTCAGTCAAATTGGCCTCTGATTCTTTCTCCTCACTTCCCTGATAGGCCAACTTCCCAAGCTTGGCACTCCAAGTGGGACCACTTTCTGTTAAGTCAGTGTGTCTGTCCAGAACCTCATCAGAGACACTTAAGTAGGGAGGCCTGTCTTCGTTGAGAGTAGAAAGGAGGTCTAGTAGCTGGTCCACATCATTCTCCCCACAGACAGACAGGTTGCTTTGGACCAGGGGCCTCCTGGGCACGTACTTTCTTTGAGACCATCCCCCAGACTGCTTCCCCTGACCTCTCTGGGAATGCCAAGCCATTCTGAAATGTGGAGCAGAACATCAGACCTAATTGCATTATTTATCCATTTACATACTAGGCAGCCTATCGTTTGGGCCAAACATTTATTGAATAAAGTATTATATTTAAATACCAAGTTTGTGGACATAATGTCCATTTGAAAGAAATTATAAAGGTCTAGGTTTCTTACCATAAACTGTCATCCATTCAGCGTGCGTTCACTGTTCTGTTGCCTTAACAGCACTAATTGGCTGCTGCCGCCTGGTGAACACATGGCACCCCAACTAAGCGGATCAGAGGCAGATTAAAAAGACAGACTACACACTTGTAAATTGGCTGGGACTTCTTATATCAACTGTCTACACATTTGTCAACTTGCCGCAAAATAGTTTAAATTGACAAAGTGGAAAGTGCATGAGCATATCAAAGCAAATAGCTAGCTAACTGCTGCTAGCTGGCTACCTTGGTTACAGTGTGCAGCTGGCTAATTTAACGTTAGCCACCGGTAAATGACCGGTGGTAGAACGCTCACATTTATTTAACTAAATTAGTTAACGTATTATCGTTTGGTTTGTTTTCCAGACCGGTTCAGAATACAATTTCATGAAATAACCATTTAAAGCCAATTTTCTGATTTCCACTGACCTGAGCCAACTTGCTGTCTGCAGCAAGTCAGTAGAGGATGTAGGCTGGAGCTAATACGTCACTGATCCATAGAACAGCCATAATGTAAACAAACATTATAGTCACCACTTTATCAATGAAACAAGACACATAAATAATTGCACAGTTGTTTATTACAAAAGTTGCATAGTTGATTCATATTTTATTAAGTTTTAATTTAGATAAATTAGACTGATACAATCCAAACATCATTCATATGCAAACCATTTCAAAATTAATGATTGCTCAATATAGTGCACTGCATTATGCATTCCCATAAAAAAAATACACACAAATTATTCCAGTGTGTATCCATGATACAGAATGAAAGGGCTGAGGACAGAGCTGTACAGATCTTGACAATAATATTCTGCAACATTACGAAAACAATTTGAAATGCTTTATCCATTTTGTTTCACACTGGAGATATCTTGATACAGAGTTTTCAGTAATATCTGAATCAAGGGCCCAAAATAAGATCTCCAGGGCATTCTCTGAAGTGAGCTGCTATTCGGACGTAACTTGAACAGGGATAGCTAAACTCTAAGAAAGACACAGTTGTGTTTAACGATTCAACAGTTCAATGTGGCGATCCAGTCATTTAGGAAGTGAAGCCATGTAATAAAAGCCACGCTAGTGGTTCTGGCTCTTCGGCTAATAGTTTCTCAGGTAGACTAGTCGAGGAGGCTGGAACTTCTCACGAAACAAAGGGCACTCTGTCTGTGGAGAGAGAACAATAGCGATGCATTGCATTTATAGCTTTTAACTTGGTTTCATAGTACCTGACATGCTAGCTAGGTGGAATATTTGTCATTCTTTATACCCCTCCAGTCCTGTCAGACCTACACAAGTGCCTATGGGTTAGAGGTAGTTTCTGGACTGTGCCACTTTTATAGTAGACATACCCCCTTAAAAGAGCGTACGTGGTGTTTCCCCACATAATTAAATAGAACAGTAGTCATTTAATGTATCTATAGTCTCACCTTGGTGTTACACCACTCTGTGATGCACTCCCAGCAGAACAGGTGGCCACATGGGGTAGAGGTCGAGTGCCTCCTCTCCTCTAGGCACAGGATACAGCGAGAGGCACGGGGTGAGTTGGTCTCCTCTACAGACTGGGACCTGGACACACACACACACATATGGGTTAACTGTAACACATGTATATGCAAAATTAATATGCATACCTCAATAATTACATTGAAAAGGATGCATGGGGCAAATTGTATCCATATTGCATCATTCTAATGTCCCCATAAACACTTCTGTAACATCTACTATTCTTCCTACAGTGTACCTGGAAGGCAGGTTCCTGTGTTGTCTCCACTCCTGCCGGGCTCTCTGTCGGTGGATGTTGAGCTGCAGGGCCAGCGTGAGGGCCAGCTGCAGCAGGGAGACCACGCCCAGGAGCCTGTAACTGCTCTGGATGGCCTCGTCATCCCCTGTCATGCCACACACCCGCAGCTAACCGTCCGGGGAAAGAATGGTGAGAAATGGCATGCTGAAGCATACACTAGTAACACTGAGACATGGGTCATATTCATTAGGCCACACAGTAGCAAAACATTTTGCAACAGAAAACAAATGCGCTTGAGGGATTACCTGAACTTGCAAAAATACATTTTTGTTTATATTTTCCATTGAAACAACTTTTGCTACGGTGTGCACTACTGAATGGAGAAAAACAGCCCTTTGAGGCCTTGCTTCCCTGGCAACTGCTTAGGTCCTGCCCACCATGGGTAAAGAAAAAGGAATCTAATTGAAACTTTCAATTTAGTGCTGCGTTAAATGGCTAAAAATGTAAAATGTTCATACAATCATGTATTCTATCTATAACCGAGTTGATGTCTGACGTATGATCTATGAGCTACCATGTCGAATTGCCAAAACAAATCACTTTTACCACTTATTACAAGCTACGAAGCAAAGGTGGTGAAACGCTAATTCAATACACCAACTGCATGCGGTATGGTGTCCTGTGCCACTGAAAAAACAGACAAGTTTGGTGGGCTCATATCTAGTGTGAGTGGGAACCTGGTGTGAACATTACCAAATGCGTTTGCATTTCTGTATTTTATTTGAGATAAACTAAAAAGAGCTATAACTTTCGTGAAGTGTCATGCTGTAGTTGAGGCAAGGCAAGCAGTGTCAGTTTATCAACATAAATCAGAAATATTGTTGAGAAAACGACATCACCACTGTGTGTAATTAAAAGACTTGCGCCAACTAGTTGTCATCGATAACAGTCAGGTTTGAATAACTGGTTTTACGGTCAGGACGGACTGCATTACCAAAAGTCTGGGAGTGACTCAAGCTGCTTAGCTAGCTAAGGATTTTGAATGTGACAAGCTAGCTATTTTCCAACCCAGGCATTAGGTTGATAACCCAGCTAAGCTAGCTAGCTAGTTATATATCTAGTCGGAATACTACTTTTTGGCTTGTTTGTCGATCTGTAATGCTCGCTAGCTATCCAATTCCAACCTGCCTGGCTGCACACGCAGCTATGCTAGCAATGAAGAGCAAGCTAGCTAGATATATCTAGTACAGAAGAGACATTATTCAAGTCATAGTTGGATATTAGTAGTGGTGTAGCAAAGGATCTATTATCCAACCATTTAGGATTGCATGAATATGTTTTAAATAAAAAATATATAGCATCTTAATGTCAAGCAAAACATATTCTGAAGCTTTCTTTACCCTTTGTGGTAGTTGCTAAGGTTAACAATGGGGCTCACGTCATTGACACAAACCTCCGTTCCTCCATAGGTTCTCAAACAAATACCCACATAGCTGATGCCGGCCGTTCTCTTCCCCAGGTGGTAGAAGGCCCCGCTGATGTAAAACAGGGCCACGTGCAACCGGTGGAGGATGGAGAGTCCCTGCTGGAGGGCCAACAAGGCCGGCACGCACGCCCTCCTCTGGGGCTCCGTGAGCTGCCCCACCCCCCTCCGGACCCAGCCTCTCCTCCAGGCTTCGGGGCTCCAGGGACTGGCCACTTCTGCTCTCCGGCCTCCCCTCCCCCTCCCCCTCCCTGGCTTTCCTCCCCTGCCTCCAGCTCATTCTCCAGGCACACCAGCAATTTGTCCAGCAGGTAAGGAAACAGGCTGTGGAGAAGCACCAGGGCTCCTCGTCTGGAACGGGACGGTACTCTGCACAGGGTGGGGTCCACCTGGATGATATTGACATACTCCTCACCCAACGTTTGGTACCCTGGATGACACATGGAGGAACAGTGAGGTCGTGTGGTTAGGAAAGGCATTGTAAAATCAAAGATGGATGCCATTTGTCTGGTCTGTCTTTAATGGTATGCTTGCATATCAGATTTTAACACTGTACTACAGGGGTGAAGCTGTATGTTTCCCTACCTGAGAATGTGGTTAAACCACAGTATGCAAGGTCTGACAGGAGTTCGATCTCTTTTCTCCAGTGCAGCCATCTCTTGGACCCTGTAGGAGTAAAGAAAAAAAAAACATGGCTACTGTAAGAATAATATAATTACATGACCAAAAGTACATGTTCCAACCGAGGAAAGACGATTTTTATGCGCTACACGCTTCAGCACTCGGCGGTCCCGTTCTGTGAGCTTGTGTGGCCTACCACTTCGCAGCTGAGCCATTGTCGCGCCAAGAAGTTCCCACTTCACAATAACAGCGCTTACAGTTGACAGGGGCAGCTCTAGCAGGGCAGACATTTTACGAACTGACTTGTTGGAAAGGTGGCATCCTATGACTGTACCACGTTGAATGTCACTGAGCTATTCAGTAAGGCCATTTTACTGCCAATGTTTATCTATGGAGATTGCACGTCGGTGTGCTCGATTTTATACACCTGTCAGCAACAGGTTTGGCTGAAATAGCCGAATCCACTAATTTGAAGAGGTGTCCATATACTTTTGTATATATAGTGCATCATAAAGGAGGATATGGCTGACTAGCTTATGTATGCATAGCTATGTTATAAATTGTCATGTAGGGTATAGTGGTCTATCCTGCCTACTTGCCTGCAAGAGTCTGGAAAGTTTCATTCGCGTTGTTCCTCAGACAGTGTTGATAATGTTCGTCCTTCTGACTTGAGCGAATCAATTGTGGCTGGTTTGCAGGGACGAGAGGCATTGCTAGAGGCTGGCTGGCTGCTAGCTAGCTGAATTCACGACAGTTGAAAAGTAATCATCAGTCCATTTATGTAACTGTCAGACTAAGACATTTTCCTGAACTTCACAGTTTAGCATAGTTATTAGACTTTCCTATTGCCTACCGAGACAGCTCTGTAAGCTAGCTACACATATAGTAGAAACAGCTACTAATGATGGGTTAGTTATAAAAAGATTTGCTAGCAATCCGGAAAAACCTTTGACTTGAAGGAAACAATACACTCCTGCGGCCACAGCGCCGTGCGGTGGTAGGAGTCATCGCGCCTACTTTCCTGTGTAATGCATCAATATTGTAACATAGCCTTACACAACACATCCATTCCCCCCACCCCATACAAATACTGTAATATAATTTCAGCATGGGTGTAACAGTACCGGAATTACTGAACGTGAACTTGTGAAATGTCATAACAGGGGGGGCTGCCTAAAATCTACATTGGCAGATCTTTCCAACTTGCTGGCTCGAGGATTCGAACCAGCGACCTTTCGTTTACTGGCCCAACGCTCTTAATCGCTAGGCTACATGCCGGATTCATTAACGAATATATTGTACACATCCTTTATTTGTCATTACTTTTTCGTTTTTTGACAGACATGTCCCTCCCCAAGCTTTCATAGCTGGGGCACATTTTCTTAACTGCGTTGAGTGTGCTCATTCATCCTGCCGCTTGCCCTACCATGTTGATAAGTTGCAGAACCAGTTTATTTGCCCCTTCAGTTCAGCGACCTGAACCAAGCTGTAGGTGTTCCGCTAGGTGGTGAACACCTTTTCCGTGCTGCCTATTGCAGAGGGCAGGTACCCTTCTGAGATAGCCACTCTCAATAAGAAGAGCTAGTAGTAACCCTTGGACAGTTTGAGTAGGGAAAAAACTTGGATGAGTTTACTTACAGGCAGCTGCAGACAAGGAAGTGTGTTTACAGTTAAGGAGGAGCTGCTGAAGTTTTTCCTTCCCTCCCTAAAGTTGTGGGATACTTGTGACTTCTTACAGATGTAGGCTAGATGGTACAGGGTGAGCGCACTCCCCGTTGGCAGCACAGGATGGGACTGAAGTGCCAGAGTAGACTACAAAGGTAAGTCTGTCAGAATTCCTCTGTTGGTTTTTATCAGCGCGGCATTCACTGCACTTCATTCAATGGAGAGGTTTCACTTGGTTATCAGCGCGGCATTCACTGCACTTCATTCAATGGAGAGGTTTCACTTGGTTATCAGCGCGGCATTCACTGCACTTCATTCAATGGAGAGGTTTCACTTGGCGACTGAACACTAACATTCCACCATGCAACCAGATAAAGAACTAGACTAGAACCTGTACCACTTTATTGTGGCCTCTTAGCCCATGGCCCCATTCCCATCAAAACTGCACAGAATTCCAGCGTGTGCGAAACACAATCTTTTTATAATTGAATAGAGTAGTAAAACATCTGTGAATAGAGTTGTAGTGCACCTTTCATGAGGTTCATGTTTGCTGTTGACTGCTGGGTGAGTCATTGATCTCTATTTGGGAAGCACAGGATCCTCAGGAGACCCCAACCCACTTGGCACACACTGGTTGAATCAACGTTGTTTCCACGTCATTTCAATGACATTACATTGAACTAATGTGGAATAGACGTTAAATTGACGTCTGTGCCCAGTGGGAAACAACACAATGAGGAAGGAAGCACTGGAGCCGGCAGCACAACACCTGCCAAAGAGATAAAACAGCAGCTTGTTTGACCCCACACTAGTTTCCATAATTACCTCAGGTGACATCTGGTTAGGATGTATCCAGCCATTGAAGTAATTGCTTTAATGGACACTGACATACGGTCAGAGTCCTAGGCACTTAGTAGTCTTTTCTCACAGCAGCAGTGAAAAGAGGCTAGGCACTGAGCTACTTCTGTTTCAAGTTTTAAACAGACTCTGTGGTGCCTGTCTGTAGCGGTCCAGCAGCGATGTTTATTTTACATTGCAGCAGCGTCATAAAGTGTCATAGGGTGACTAAGCCATGCCCAGACATAGTCTCTCCTTAGGCACATACAGCAGGACTTTGCCCTCTATGGAAGGCTACATGTGTGAAGTCACGTCACTGTGTGTGTGTGGGTGTGTGTGTGTGTGTGTGTGCGCGCGCGCGCTTAGTACTTGTACGTGCGTGCGTGCCTGCTTGCATGCGTGTTGTGTGTATGTGTGCGTGGTTAAGGCTAGGATAAGGCTGTGGGAACATTGCCGTTGTGTTCATGGAAGATTCATCAATAAGGTAGAATAACTGAACTGTGGGAACAAAAACAAGTAGAAGTTTCTCGAACGACATAATTGTAAAACATATTTCCAAATAGAATGAAAATCACAACAGGTTACAACATGATATAACATTGACATGTATTAAAGACACTTGATGTTCCTTTGATGATGCCAATGGAATACTAACCAATGCAAAACATAACGCAATGCCTTTATATGTAAGACATACATTTTTGACTGACCTTTTCTAGCCTGCGATTACTATATTTTTCTCTAACAATTTATTGTATTTTGCCACATGCATCCCTTTTGAAGTTTGAATGACCTTTCCAGCTACAGTACCCTGCACGGTAAGGCCGTCCAAATCTAAACGCAAACTAAACTAAATCTGACTTGGAAATAGGCCACGGGAAAGTTAATTTGACTCTCGAACACGCCACTAGCACACGATGTTAACTGTTTGTGTGGTGTGTGTTTGTGTGTTGTCCCTCTGCTTAACTTAGCATAACAGATCTGTATCAGTCCATTGTGATAAATAGGCTATTCTCCTTATCTTCCTGCTCCTACAATCAGAGCATAACCTACTCCTGACGAAGTAGTCAAATATTGTCTGCAAAGTATTCGTCTCAAAAGAAAACATGCTATTGAAGGACTTGCTCAACAAGGAAATATGTCCTACCAGTAGCCTATTGTTAAATTGTTTCAATTTCCATCTTGATCTAATCTTTGTCACAGCTCATGACAGTACAAACAAAAAATGGTTCAAATGAATTGTAATCAATCTCTCCTTGTCAAACCATAGTAGGGCAGTACTTTATTTTCTTTGCTTGCCACAGGGGGCAGAGAGATTTGTATTGGTGCATGCTCACCACCCACGGCTGACCCCACACAACCCTTTCCTTGGTACAGTTACTGGCCCTCCCCTACCAAACCTCGGGCTTTGCCCTCACATGTCCTGGCTGCGTTGACGCACCCCAGCATGAATACCCACTATAGACAAGGATCTTTGAAGTGACATAACTCACTTCCGGCTGTGGCAGTGAGTAGTGTGTGCTGCTACTGTTCAGGTGTGTGTGTAAGTGATTTGACGTGTGTGTAGGTATAATTCTACAGCTGTCCAAGTGGGAGATATAACCGGATGCCACACACTAAAACACATCAAGGATAGACCTGGCTGTGTCCTCTGCCTTTTATTCCCTCTCAGAAAGGTAATGTAATATCACCATTCTTATTTCTTGCCTGTCTTACTTACAGATAAATCAGTGTTGTTGCGACCACAAAGGTGTGGCTAGGGCAAGTCTACTTTTGCTATCTAGCAGGGATGGACTTCTATTGGTAAGATAATCTTTCCTGTGCAATTCAGGTGTGGGTGTGTTGTCTGCTTAGACTCTCCCCTGTGGTTTGTACAGCCAGTCGCCATTCTAACAAGCCCAGTCTAAGTCAACTATTGGGACCGTACTGTATCATAACCCCAACAGCCTTTAACAACAGTGCTATTTGATTGGAAGAGCAGGTTAGAAAAACATTGTGGAGTTCTTGCGGTGTAGGTTTTCACCCCTTTGAGGTTTTTAGAGGGGATTTTCTGGCTGGCGCTGAAACTCTACACCTTATAGCTGGGAGAGTGCGTAAAAAAAAAAGAAGGAAAAACACTGCTGTAACCCGCTGCAAAGGGGAGGAGGCACAACTGAACGGGAGACTCCATGTTACTTCAGGGGTCTGATTTCTCCTGTGAACACACTCTTTCCTCTGTTGTTGTTGTTGTTTATACAACACAAACCTATCATTTATCTTGCAACTGCTCACCAGGTCCTTGCTGTATATGAGAATATGTTCTCTGTCAACTTACCAGGTAAAATAAATAAAATACAGTAACCAGTGTCATTGAGTCCCATGTGTTGGTCTTCAATGCTGTAGAGTGGCAGAGCTAGACTCGTGGCGCCGCAGGCTAAAGGTGAATGTGCTAAGAGGCTATTAATCAGCTGTAAACCTGTGTCATTAGTGAGGAAATAACGTTTCCACTGCTGTCATCTGCCAAGGTGGATGTTCTGTGTGCCAGGAAACATACCTGACTGCTTGCCGCAAACCTGATGAGGAGACAGTGGGTTCTGAACATATGTCATCATTATGGGGCGAATCATACCTTCCATTTAATTTTCACATGTTCACTTAGTCATGCATTGATGTCAGTGGGAGACCTTAAGTTAGCATTCACCCCTTTTCAGTTTAAAGCCAGTGATTCCTATGGAATGGGTAGGTAAGGAGGACCAACTGGTGGGTGGCAGCCAGTGCCTCCTCTTCACAATTTATTAAAGAATGGTCTGTGGCAATAAACATTATTTAGTTAATTTTGTGGATTAAGCCTACATTAGGAACATTTTAAAGGTGTTTGGAGAGGTCACAACACAATGCCAAAAATGATTGAATTACTGGTTTAATGTATAACGCCAACTGTAAAATGTTGTTGTTTATTCTAAATGTACATTTACATTTTAGTCATTTAGCAGACGCTCTTATCCAGAGCGACATACAGGAGCAATTAGGGTTAAGTGCCTTGCTTAAGGGCACATCGACAGATTTTTCACCTATTCGGCTCGGGGATTCAAATCAGCGACCTTTCGGTTACTGGCCCAACACTCTTAACCGCTAGGTTACCTGCCACCCTGTAGTGATGTGAATAATAATGCTAACGTATAACAATATCTAACAATGATATCAGATAATGTGAGATCATTTACACAATTTGGAGCCGCAAAAGCCTAAAGCCATGTCTGAATAGACCGTATGTGCCTGTGTGTTTGAACTTGTGCTCTATAGAAACTCAATGATTTTCCTTCAGTATCAGTCTGTAGTGTACGGTGAAAGCCTGTTTTGTACCAGACCCATTGTGTGTGTTCTGTAAAAGGAACGTTATAGTAGTTGGGAAAAGTGAAAGAAAGAGCCATTGTGTCAGCA